GAAGCGATTGCTAGAACACCAAAAGAGGGACAAGTTAAGAATGTTGCATCTTTTCGAAGTTATTTGTATTGGTAAGTTATTGTGCAGTTACCATCAATAGGCTACTACACGTTTTCTTGGCCAATACCCCAGAGTGGGTATGGGCCATAGTATCCAGACTATAATTAAACAACACCAACATAGGGAAGCTGCTCGAATACCAGCTTATGTGAAGAATATGACTACGAAAAAAAGAGAGCCAAAATTGTCAAGCAATACCAGCGGGTACGCTGTCTTCAACCAGCACCCTAAGAATAATCAAACAGGAGTAACCCAGAACGACCCTCGTACACTTGAGAAGCGTATCAACGCCAAACACCTTGACGGACACCATAATGCCTAGGATATCAGAGGTTCTACAGACCACGGTGACACAGAATTCCTCAAAACAAAGCGGAAAATTCGATTCTGGAACTTGAGACCAGATTGACCAAACCGTATAGGGAAGCTTCAGCCAGCGCATCCACCCACTGGAAGAAACACAGAATGCTCGCAAAAAGTTTGGGTAAACTGCGAGAGACTGTAAGATCCTGGCAACCCTGAACAGGAAAGATGGTGAGGCCAACCAAAAAGAAAATCGAGTGTAACACCAACAGCACAAATTTTGGAAATAGAACTGCCTTTGCATTCAGAGTATGAACCTTTCACAATGGTCCTAGCTCTTTGAAACAAATTTTATAACCCTGCAAGAAACCGAAGGTGCAGGCTTCAAATCGCTACCTCATTCACGAATTCGACGGTAAAACAAGGGCAACGATGCTGTCAGAAAAGGCAATCATCGTTCCATAACACACATATAGCACCGCATTGAGCACTCCATCTTGAAAATCTTGCCTGAGAAAAAAACGGGGGCGAATCCTCCTCGCGAGAGACATATACACCTCAATAGTGGACCACCTAATTATCTAAACAAGTTTATGCGAGATGCCAGAGGACTGATTAGGACAATGGATTAATAGCAGTTGGTCATATTAACATTCGCACTCTCTATGTGACCTGGGGTTACGTGGTTTTAAATTTAAAAAAAAAAGAGAAGGCCCACACAATGCGGCACAACACCACGCGCATGCGCATAAAGGCAACAGTGTATCTAGAAAAACCCGTCCTGATCGCACGCTTGCACAGTGTTCAAACTTTAGGAGTAGAGCGGCATGGATGAAAATCTGGGCAGCGACTTTTTAGTACAAGTGATCATCGTTCGCATTGAATCGGTCAAAAAATATTAAAAAAAGCGAAGGTAACGGACCGGGAAATCTTCCGACAGGACTAGAGTGTTGTTGATGCTACGAGATACGAGATAAAAACACGTATCCCAGTAGGCGCGGAAAGACCCAAGTACACAAGTGTAATCCAACTGTCTCGAGGCACCCCCGTTGACGGGCACCACTTAGTGAACCTGTGGAGGGCGCGAACGGGACTCGCGGAGCGCTGACAACACAAAGTGCGACCGCTAACTCAAAATTTGTATATCCAAGCTGGTCAAGGAGGCATGAGAGTACCCTGAACAAATTAAAAAAGAAATCACCACCCAAGTACCCCGAAGTGTGGCAGCTTGGGCTAGTCGGTATGGCATGACGATAGCTATAGCGCGAGAACAAAACGACGACACAGAGACAAGAAGGACACGGAAGATACGAGCGCTACGAAAAAGAGCCCGAATAACTAGAAATGTAACTTAGAAGTGTGGCAGCTTGGGCGAGTTGGTATGGCATGACGATAGGTATAGCGCTCGTGTCTTTCGTGTCTTTCTTGTCTCTGTGTCGTCGTTTTGTTCTCGCGCTATAACTATCGCCAAGCACTCCGTGTGGCTTAAACGTGCGGCCACAGGTGGTTGCAGAAGTTGTAATTGAAGCCAACGTTTCCCTCGAGAAACATATGTCTAAGCCGGCGTCCACCGTGGCGGACGCGTTTTAGGGGCGAAGCTCCTTATGGCGTGGCTTATGCGTCCCTCGTAGTACGCAACCACCACTGGCACATACCCGAAATAGCGGTCCTTAATATTTTGAACTCCAAGGTGGTTCCGGTGAGAGATTTCTTCTGTGCGTTGTTGAACAATAAAAGATAATGCTCAATGCACATGTTAATGGCTGCTAAGGGGGAATGAGAGACAGGAGCATTCGGCCTTTAGGTAACGCGCACGCTCCGATCCCCATTAGCAGCTACTGGAATGCACATTGAGCACGATCTGACAAGAAAGGGTTGCTACGTTATACTCACTGGGTGTAACCCCTTGGTTTTAGAAAGGTTTAGCGAGCATTGGGCCGCATAGCCATGAATACAGTGAACTAGTATATACCATGAACTCGAGGTGGTTAAAGGTGGGAAGTAAACCCGAAGCGCAAGCCGTAAGAAAGTGTGCATGTGCCATCTCAAGTTTAGTCCTTGAAATGTCCGCTGGATGGCGGTGCTTCTATATAGAGAATATATGATGAAAAGATGCGAGATGGTGGTACTTGGAGTGCTGAATAGATGGACGAACGGACACACAGACAGATGCATGGATGGACGCATGAACGGACGCAGGCGCGGATGCATGGACGAACGCAGAGACGGACGCACGAACAGACGCACGCACGGATGGGTGGATGGACGCATAAACCGTTACACAGACGTACGCCGGAACGGACGGAAGCAAGAACGAATGGACGGACGAATGCTTCGCCCCACTCCCCATCATTCACTCCGTGGATATGCTGCCATTTTTCTTCTATTACCATGTTGACGCGGCTCTGCCTGCAACGCCGCTTTCTCGGCTTGCCGTTGTCGCTTGCATTCGGCTCGGATGGCTGCCGGATCATCGTTGCGCAGTTGGTGAAACATTGGTTGCTGCTTGTGCATCACCACCCATGTCTGTTCCTGTATGCCTTGCGAATATGTATTCTCTCATGTATCAGCTGTCCCTGCTGCTCTTTAGAAGTTGTCTGTTGCTCCAGCATTGTGGCACTTGAGGCCAAAGTGACCAAATCGTAGAAATCCAATCGTACAATTTTCACCCTCCCCATGTGGAAGTCCAGTTAAGGCTGCTGCGCGCGTGCTTGGTAGCAGGGCTACGAAGAAATGAACGATGTCGCGGACAATGCTCCCAGTAGGGCGCACTCGTGTAGGAAGGAAAAATACAGGAGGGAGCGTTGCGCAACTCGATTGAAGTCTACCAAGTAGTCCCAACACGTGACAAAAACGTCAGCGCGCACGGTAGGTTTTAGTTATCTCGGTTTCGTCTTGTTTAAAAAGTGATGACGAAAAACTGCTGGCCAAGTTCTGCACGCACAATTCTGCAGGCTGCCGGGTGATTATCCGCTCCCGGGAAGGATACACAATAATAATATTCGTCACAAAAGTGTGAGGGATACAGGCGTCTTATGCTCACAATGCTCTCGCTAATTTGACTGAAGTGCACGTCTAACGTTGGTACGGGATCCTTTCACGGCTCGCCCGAATTTCTCGCTTGAATGGAACGAAAGAAGCGGAACAAGCACTGAGAAAAACGTAACGAGGTCACGATCAGTAGTGCAGGCGGGGACACCGAGCAGCGCACAGATCAGCTGGGCGCGCCGTGAAGCAGGCAAACGGCCGCTCTCCCACTAAAAATTACCGAGAACCAAGCAAGGACATCTCAGCAAGTCTCGTTTATTGCGTGATCTCACGGCAAAAGGGCCGACTTTGATGCCTTCAAAACGGGTTGGCCTGCCAAGGCTTGGTGCGTGACTTCATGCTCCCTCCTGTGTTTTCTTTCCTCCATGGACGTGTTCGGATGCGATGTAGAGAATGACGTAACTGACGGAGCAGCCAATAGAGGCCGTTATAGTTTGTTGCGGCGAATGGTTTTTTTGTTTCGTCATATACAGTTCTCGCTGCAAAGGAAGTGGGCACAGTAGAATTCGACGACCAGTGGGAGGCTCAGCCATGGTGACTGAAGATCCTGAAAACCAGCTATCTGAACAGCGCCCAAGAAGCGACAGTGAGCCATGGCTACGTGATGTGAGGAAGCCACCCACTTAACAGTAGATTGAAAAGGAGCCTGGTAAAAAAAAAAATCCTGTATCCTAATCTGAAGTACTCACTGAGCCCAGTACTGCTTACCTTCCGTGATCGGACAAAAACCAGCGCATTCAGCGTGGTATATGGCGATTTTACAATCTCCTGTTTCACATCAACGTCGAAAGAACACCATTTTTGTATATCCCAGTTTGGAAGCGGTACAAGAGGACATACTCCAGCACCTCCATTAACGCGTCACATTAGCCCACTTTAGGGAGTTCACAGCGCCTTGGCGTGCGTTATTTAGTTTTTGCCGCCCCTACTCCTATGTTGTCATGAGTGACATTCGTCCCTCCGTTTTCCTAATAGAAGAATTCACCTTTTCTTTCTCTTTTTTGTGACATGCTGGCGCCGCACGCGCGAGAGAGTACATTACACGTGTAACGTGACTGGTTACTGAAACACAGTGAAAGGATCAAGCTAGACATTACCTTTCTCTGAAACTGTGATAAGCAATTTACCAGTATAGCGAAACGCTGCAACGCGTATCGTCAACCCCTAGATAAATAACCAAAGCCACAGTAGAGCTAAATTACGAAACTTTGCCTCAGTTTTCATCCCTACGCAGTCACTATTTCAGATGTTGGCTAAGAACACAGAAACAGTTGTTGTTTCTTTCATTCTTTTACTCGTTTATTTAAATAAGTCGATACATGAAATACAAGGAGAGCATCAATACATATATAGTTCACGTCCGCAAGTAAGAAGTGTTGGGAACACTTTCCAACAAATACAGAACGGTGGTAACTGTAGTCGCTGTAAACAGCAGTATCGCTATACATAATCATAAGCATGCGCACAAGATGGGGAGGCTGCTTCTCCCCTAGTCCACTAAGAAAGGAGGAGCACAAAGTTCGCCCCATACATTGACTCAAAGGGAAGCGGGGCGCTGCAAAAAACTTAAGTTCCCCCCCCCCCCCCCCACGCCCCGAAGTGGAACCTTGTTCACGCCTATGCATATAATTTGTATGGACCACGTGTTCATCAGCCATGGTGCGAAATAACAAAATCAACATAAACAATGCAATAACTAACATGGATAATTTAAACCACCAGTTTAGAGCACAACGCCACTGGAAAATTCCCGCTGATTTCTCACGAAAAGTGCTCCTAGTTGAAGAAAAATTCATCGTGCTCCGGGTACCGAATGCCAGAGCAACACCTTTCCGGGGTAGTCGCTCTACCAAGTTGCTCTTCGTAAAGGGACCACCTCTGAAAAGCGTTGGTCCCGAGTTCTATTTCCGCAGTAGGGCAAACTTTTCCTCTACTAGAATCTTCGGTACTCATTTTCTCGTGGCTTTATGCTACAAACTGGCGGTTTATCTTATCTCTTTCATAACTCCTGCGCCACTCATTCGCAAAACAGTAACTGGCTGATAAACACGTAGGAACGCAATGCGGCTCACTCAATCTTCATCCGGAAATCGGAAAAGAAGGTGCTTTATCAGCGTCTTCCTCCTCTGCTTCTTCCTTTTGGCAATCCTTGAGACTAGTACCTCCTTCCTGCCTCTTTCGGGTGACTCGTCGGCCTCGGCTATCCACCTGCGGATGTACGTCCTCTCTATCTGGCGTGCTCGTACCACTTCCGGTGGGTCGCTCGGCCGCGAGAACCTCAAGTCCGCGTGATGCGCGGCGCCCGGTATCTTGAGTACCACCACGTCGTCCGATAAGGGTTCGAGTACGCCCAGGACTGACCATGGGTCCAACTCTCCGTTACTGCGTAAAGAACGAAGTACGACCTCTTAAAGTGTGATTTTCTTGATTTACAAATCGTTAAAAGTACAGTTAGAAATGCATATATGTGAGCTAAGGAACATCCGAAGTTGCCCTGACCTTACTTAGACACAAATGAATCTACCAGACAAGATTTTTTTTCTACCCTTTCTTTTTGTTTTCCTTCCTTACCATTAAATCCACTTTTACCCCTTCCCTAGTGCAGGGGAGCAAGCCTAAAAAATTAACCTCGCCATCTTTCACTCATATGCTGTCTTTTTAGGCCTCGAAAGCATACGAATCAATAATTATTGTCTTAACTGGAGTTCAGTCATAGTTGTGTAAACTAAATATAACTAAAGTGGACAAAAAATAACCCTTTTTGTAGGTCAGACCTGAACCCAGATCTTCGAGTTAGCGTCCAATGCTCTATCAGCTTAACAATGACAGAAAGCGTTTCTCTCATCCATTTCGTTTGGTATTTCTCGACGTGACAGCTAGTGCCACTCGTAACCAAGGTGGCGAGTGTAGAAAATTATTTATGCCTGAAGCCATCACGTGGCTCGTGATTATTGCACGGATTGGCTGCTGACCACTTAACCGTCGCATACCAACCTAAAGCGTTAAGCCTGCTGGGGACTGCACATTCCACTACGCATGGTAAGAGCGGCAAGTTGAAAGGGTTTGAAAAGTCGCGTGGTGGCTTATTAAAAAGCGCCAACAGACGGCAACAGACAGGTTGCGCCTGTCGCATCTACCTCCTTTCCGTGTTGAGGTGTTTCGTACTTTTCAAAAAGTCACCAGCGGAGATAAGACTTGTTAACTCAGTAAATCTGAAGCGCGGCATCAATAGCGAGAAACAGTGTATTTATGCTTATATGTTTTTACAGTAAACGAGATCGGGGTGGGTTAGCCCGACTTCCACTTTATGTAGGCCTGCAAATTATTCGATAATGCAAAAAAACAACCGTCGTTTAGGTTTTAATTCTGAAGCACTTACAATTTATAGCCTTGAATGAGTTCTTGAAGCGTTTGCCCTTTATGTAAGCGCCATGCGCAACACGTTTTTTTTTTTTATTCAGCAATCATGAATGATCACATATCTCCCTAAAATTAAGATTTCGTTCACCGACTTTCAGTGCTGCTTGAAAAGAGGCGAGGGGGGGGGGGGGGGACACCGCCGATGCTAAGTACAAGATTTAGCGGATTTTACTTGCGAACTATTTTGAGACGAGCCAATATTGAAACCTGCCATGGTGGTCTACTGGTTATCGCGCTTGACGGCTCAGCCGAAGGTGGCGGAAGTGAATCTCGGCCGTGGCGGCCACAATTTCGATGGAAGCTAATATGCTGAAGGCCCCTGTTTGGCCTATCTACTTAGATTTAGGCGCTCGTTAAATAATCCCAGGAGATATAAATTTCAGGAGCCCAAGCACTATGGCGTTTATTAAATCATATTGTGGTTTTGGCGCGCTAAAATCTAACAAGTGCGATATCATAAATGAACCAGTGCTGGCACTTTCCAATTACTGCAAGTCTAAGCTAGGTTTCTGACCACGTAACCTTGATTTATTTAATCATTATCTAGGTTTAAGTCGCTGGGATTACTGTCTGTTGCATGGTCTGCCTTCTCGCTCTGTTGTGACTTCTTGTTTTTTTTTTTCTTTAACTCTTTTTCCCTAATGATAACAAAGAAGAGGGTTCCAGCTTTCTTCGGTAGCTTACCGGAATTATGCATCTCCCTTATTTAGGTATTATCTCCTTAAAAACTACATTTTCTCTGGCCCTTTCCACTCACTATACCTAATGAACCATTATTTCCCATGTACAATGTCTGTCGAAACCTGAAGTGGATCGTAAAGGTAGTGCTTTTTTCACCGAACGCATCAGCCACTGGCATAGTCAGGAGTGTGGTGGGATTGGGGAGTTTTCATAATCACCTTTACTCCAAGTTTTTCCATTTTGCATTCACGCGCACATACTAACACACGCATTACATACATAAAGGGTGGTTGAATCCTCCTCGCACGCTTCCGGTCTAAGGAACTTCACTGGCGTACCACCATCACTTGTAATCGCTGCGTAATGCCGAAAATGCTGCCTAAATTATGTCCGTCAGCTAAAAATGGTTGAATGATAGCTAACGTTCTCTGTCCTTTGTTATATAGCATAACATACTCTCCTCAATGTCAACCCAATGGTTGAGTTTTCCATCCATCCATCTATCTAGCTGGCTGGCTGGCTGGCTGGCTGGCTAGCTGCCTGGCTGCCTGGCTGCCTGGCTGTTCTCACTCCATCTCAAACCTAGGCATTCCTTAGATGGTGCTCACCTGAATATGATGTTTGTGGCTGTGTCAAACCTGTCCCCGCCGTAGAGCATGATGGTACGGTAAAAGTCCGGCGTGATGCCGAACTGCTTCTGACATCGCTCCAACTCGGCAGTGGCATTCCATGTGTAGGGGAAGAACATGTCGGTCACGCCGTTGCCGCAAGTAGCCGTCATAAGTTCGTTGCATTTCTGGGGATGAGAGGGAGGCGACATGATTGTTAAAATATTTGAATGTCATAGCTGAGCTGTCGAATTATTTCAAGGTAACAAAAACCTCAAGTTGAGGCCGAAACAAATTTTGATTATTTTAAAGGGACACAACACTAAAATTATCAGTTGTCCTTTGCGTCAAGTGCAAACACGTGGCTTCAAAAGCCTAGAAAATGCACTGTTAAGCGAGAGTACGCCCTGAACATAATTACAGTCTGTCGGTAAAAGCTAGTTTCGGTTCCTGCTGTTCCCTGACGTCACAACGTGGTATAAGCTTCGCGTCAAGTGCTCCCTCAAGATATCGTGGCATTTGCACGACCACTCCGCACCGTAGCTCCATTGCTGACGCACAAGCAGTCATTTTGGAAGTTTTCGTGCCTGATTTCGCCACAACCAGCCCTGATGTTACATGAAGCCACGAGAATTCGAACAGTAGCCTGGCGTTAAGCTAGTATCGGTGTCGGTAGGTGTGCCACGATAAAATTGACTATTAATATAATATATATTATCAGCATTTGCTGAGCCTCACGCGTGCTTAAGAGCTGTCTCTTCATACAAAAGAGTATAGTGTGACAGCGTAAAGATACATCCGATAAAATGGTGTCCGTACGCATTTAAAGCGAAAATTTTAGATGCCTCATCAAACGCGAGAAATCGCTGTTGGCGTCGGCGGTGCCAACACGAGGGATACAAAAAAAAGATCGCTTGATGGCGTCACCCTGTGAAATTGGACAACTCAGGTCGCTAACATTTGTAGCGTCATAATGACGGTAGTGTGACGTCATTATAACGTCACATAACGCGAAGCCACATGATTACGTCATCACATATGACATCATCGTTTGTTCAAAAGGGCGTCGGTCACAGAGGCAAGGCGAAACCACAGGAAGTGCACAATTTTTCCTATGCTTCCGATCCTGCAAGCCATTCGACACCACGTCGGCTGCAGAAAGCTTTCGTGGATGGGGTGGGGGCACGACTACAATCGAATAAGAAGGAAAAGAAGGTGTCTTTCGCCTTCGAGTTACCTTAGGCTGATGAGTAAATAACCATTTTACTTTTTTCTTTTACAGATTTTATATAAGTGCCTATAACTGCTTTTCACTAAAAAAGAAAGGAGTGTCTGGGGAGTACTGCTACACATCAATAATCGTCTTCGGACTTGATCGCGTTTCCTTTCTTGAAAACCCGGCATTGGCCACTTTCCTGTCGGAAATGCTTTGTCTCACTGATAAGGCACGCAGTGTTAGCGACCACGAGCTACTGTAACCGTGGCGATAACGCGAGGAAAGTACTCGAAGTAGATGACGACTACTGTTCAGTAGCAGGAACACTTCCCAAAAACTCGGGTGTTTTTAAGTGTTCAGTTGTGAATCATGCTGCATTTGTGTAGAGATGCGTCGAATTCGCATGACATAATTACAAAGCACTCATTGTCAGATTCCCAGACAGAAAATGATGGACTATATTGTTTAGTAAGCATCAGTAAGTAGAGTTAATTAGCGTGTAACTAAATATCTAATTAACCTGCAATCAGTCAGCGTCTGTATTTGCATAAAAAGTGCACTATTAATCCCGAAATGCATGCACATGTTTTTTTTTGTTCTTGTTGTATTCGTTTCGAGTGAAGACAAAATGAAGAAAAAAAGTCTTGATGTTGGCTTTGAAACGCGGCACGTGAAACAATCGTTGAACATGGTAGTCTTCCCAGCAGAGTGATCCTCTGCATCAATACGCCGCACAGTGAAGTTAAATGATCGCTAGTTTCGATCCACGAAGCAAGCCTGCACGAATGAGCACACTAAGTTTCAGGTCATTTGACGGAACACGTGGCGCGTTACGTGGCGTCGAAGTTGGCGTATACAACAGTACAGATGGTGGCAAATGCTTCATGTAATCATTTCAGCTGAATTTCGCTTGAAGCAGAGAATATATCAGAAAGCAACATGGGGGAAATTACCTCAACATAGCCTTAGTCTCACGATGAGACAAGCGCAAAAATACACACACTCAGAAAGGACACAGACAAGCGCGGAGTGTGTGTATTTTCGTGCTTGTCTCATCATGAACCTTTACCAACACGCCCAACTGGCAGTCATCCTAAATAGCCTTAGTCTACGTAAGAAAAGCAGAAAAACTCCAGAAATATTTTCAGGATGGCAAGAGATGCGCGTTTATTTGGGACACGTAGTGTGCGAACCAGTGTAATATATAAGCACGAATGAAAGGAAGAAAGGACTACGTACGACACAGCGCCGTGTTCACGTGACCATTTTCGCTCGCGTATACACGCGATCTGTTCGAATTCAGGAGGTCAGATTCTGTATACCACGAAATCGTAGCAGCAAGCCACGAAAAGTTCAGATCACACCTGGAATTCTGCCTTACCTGAAAACTGTAACCAGGGATGTGTCGCTGGTAGATGAACAGGTCGTTACACTTGCGCTGTCCCGTACTGTTGAATAAGATATTCACAGCCCTCACAACGGCATCTACCAAGGCCGACTTGTTGTTTGCTGGAGCTTTTACGAAGCCCTCGCACACCACCTGCGTAAATAGAAGAACGCTGTTTAAATGCCCCTGCAGTTTGAAATGGTTATGTTATATTCCGCTCTGCTAAACTGCAGAGCACCAAATCTTTACAAGACATGGAAAAGAGCGGCCAGCTGAAGCGTGGCTAGAATGTTTTTCTTTTCTTTTCTGCGGGGTGGTGTGAGGCTTCACCGATACCGGAGTATAGGTTGAACCCCACTCCATGTCACGAGACGAAGAGACCGGATGATTGTCGGGAAGCTTAGGGTGCTCTGTAAGTACCCTAGAGAGAACTGTGGCGTTACTATTTACGTAAGGAACAACGCAAGGTGTTTCAGCCAGCGTGGGATTATTCGGTAGCTCATGAATTTCGTATACACTCCATTCTTTCGTCTACGTTTGGCTATGTGGCACAAGCAGCTGCTTTGTCGAAAACGAGGTTCAGCTAATTTGCAGCAGTTACACTTTTCCGCCGTGACCTTTTACGATCACCAGTTCAAATCGGGTCATGAAGTTCACAATGATTCGTTCTTTTATCTAAATAAATAAATAAATAAATAAATTTATCTGAAATAAAAGCCAAAACATAACAATGAACAAAGGCAGATGCGTGTTCGAATCCCACGAGCACGAAGACATGGTGAATCCGTGTACTATACCAATCATTCCCATGGTGGCTGAAGAATCGCCGCACCAAAGTTCCCTCTAGTTAATATTGTAGGAAACTATCGGTAGATGTGCTGCCACCAAGCATGGCGACCAATAATCAAAGAGGCATCGGTGGAAGCGAGGCGCCCGCTGAACCTATTGTGAAGGGGCGAGGCGCCGGGTGCCCTTCCCCTTGACGCCATACGTGGCTAGCGAGGTGCCCTTCGGCTAGCCCCGTGCTGCTTCGGTGTAGTTTATACTGTTCAAGAATGACGCAGCTAGTTTACCCGCACAGGACTGGCCGGCACGGCTCCGACGAGATCAGAAGGCTCTGGAAAGTTGACCAGGGCGATAGTCCCGTAGTTCTCTTTGATCCAGTCTCTGAGGAGCGTGTAGTTGCTCGGGTGCAACTCCTGGCAAAGCCCGAACTTCCGTCGCAGCTGTTTGCAGCCGGCCACTAGAACAAATTAAGACGGAACATACATATACACCGCTGTAATTGTTTAGGGGCAGGAAAATGTGCAAGACTAAATGCAGGCACTGAGATCTCGAGCAAATGGTTATATAGTTTCACTTCGTCCAAAATATGCGCTGTGAAAAAATACCACCAATTTATACAAAGTCCTTACGTGTTCCTATTTTTTTATTGTACTTATACGCTTCTACCAGAACTAGTGGTAGACCGTGCAAACATTTTTTTTGTATGTATGTGTGCTTTGCCTTCTATACTTATGCAGATTTTAAGTTAAACACATTGCACACAACACACGAATGAATTTTCCCAAAGCCTACTCCCGCGTGGCATAAGACACCTCTTTATTTTGGGGTGTGGCTCTTAGGCAGCCATTTCCGCGTTGATTGGCGTCACCGTCACCGTCGTTGGCGTAAGTGATGCACATGAAAAATTGACCGATAGAGATGGAAAAACAAAACAAGAAAGAAATACCTAAGATCGATCAGGACTTGAACGCTCATCCTCAGTGGTGCAGTCTGATGTTCGGGCACAGAGCCATACTGATGGTTGGAACTAATTTGCGAAAATACCCTATGCAGGCGTCATGAAAGGCGATAAATCACAATAGCTTATGCAATATACCGTGATAGAAGAGTAAAATACCAACCAGTCATCGCATAATACTACACGCGCTACGAGTGTGCGGTTTATTGCTTTCCACTGCACTCCAAGTTGATCAGCTCTTCATCGTCATCAACCACACACGCAGCATCAACAAAGTGCACAACAAAGTGCATGTACCTGGTACCTCACTCATTCACCGAAAGATGAAAAATAGCGTAGTAGGTATCGTCCTACTCCACAGAAATTGTAGTTCTTGGCAGAAAGCCGAAATTTCGAAACACAGTTGACCTTGCTTCAAGGCAAAGTTAGGCTCAGAATTTTCTTTAGGCAGTATCGCAATCATCGGTAATTTTTTTTTTCGTCGCGCGATCCCATGATATTGTTTACTTCATTTTCCTCAGGGTGCCCCCACCAGCGTTTCGTTCAATGTCACATTCGCATTTGACATATGAGGCTCTCGCCTTAGTTACCTATTCATGCTCAATATAATGTGGTGAACTAGTGCTCAGTTAATTACCATACTGTCAACGCAGTATTCTTAAGTTGAAGTTTATTGGTTAACATATACATCAGTCGTAGAATACTTGTATACTGATGAGGGTTCCAGAGTGGAAATACTGAAAACACGACCCTCAGTTAAAACTTACAACTAAATTAAATTCTAAAATTATCAGATTAGGAAGGAGATAGCAGGCGAGAACAATTGAAATGTGTAATAGTATTATGAGAACTAACTGAATACGGTGCCAAGGAAAACAACAGACATATTATTAAAACTAATTGAAATGTAATTGCCAAAAAATGAAAGTGGGTGAAAAGATAAACTGCCGTTTGTAGGGACAAATAATAGGTCCTATTATCTACCAAGTGAGACACAGTGGCGGTCTCCCCCCACCCTTCCATGTAATATATATGTGGGTATATATGCTAATTTTCATGTGTCCCAATAACGGAAAAAACAACGCGCCCTTGAATTTATACTTCTTCATTTAAAATACATAATATCATCATCATCATCATCATCAAAAGTCTGACTACGCCCTCTGCAGGGCAAAGGCCTCTCCCGTGATTCACCTATCAATCTGGTCATGTGCGTGCCGCTGCAACGTCATACCTGGGAATTTTTTAATCTCATCAGCCCAACGAACCTTCTGTCTCCCCCTTGTGCGTTTGTCGTCTATGGTAATCCAGTTAGTTACCCTTAATGACCAGCGGTTACCCTGCCTACGCGCTGCGTGCCCGGCCCATGTCCATTTCTTCTTGATTTCAATTATTATATCCTTAACCACGGTTTGTTCTCTAACCCACTCTGCTCTCTTCTTATCTCTTAAGGTTACACATCTTCCTTTCAATCACTCGCTGCGTCATCCTCAATTTAATCTGAACCCTCTTTGTAAGTCTCCAGGTTTCTACTCCGTAGCTGAGTACCGGCAAGATGCAGCTGTTATATGCCTTAATCTTGAGGTTAGTGGTAGATATATATTAAGAAAAATATAAAGCAATGCGATGTGAAATCAAATACAATGCAGTGAAGGAAACGTGCATAATGAAAATACAAATGAGAACAAGTAGAGAGAATGAAAGAAAGCAAAATAAAAGAAGAAAAAATGCAAATGAATAAAACGTGGAATTGACTGAGGGTATACCCATAAGAACTTATGGTATACCCATAAGACCGAAAATACATCATTGAAGCTTCGAAATGCCAAAACGTACCGCTCTGAATGTTAAGAGGTAGGTATATGTGAACGATATCAAGGTTCCAACTCACGAACCAGAATATCCCAGCTTCTGCAACTCCGTCCACGATTTTCTTATGGCGGCTGAGCACAGTTCGGATTCCCGTTCGTACGCAGCCGTTACCGCCTCGTTGAACTTGCCGCAAGGTGCAAGGCCCGGTGACATGTTGATGGGGGCGCTTGCAGCGAGGGACCTGAATGAGGTCAGATTTCGTGAAAGAAAGCAAGAAGTGTCTTCTGGAATTTCAATAATGCTTTTTTTCTTACTCAAACGGTTAAACAGACTTTCTTTGAAAGACAGTTTAAACATCCTAGCCGCCTGACCGCAAACGCTACATTCAGTCAATCAATTACGTACCCATTTAGGAAATCCTTATTATCCACGTGAAAAAGGTAATACATTGCAGGTAAATATGCAGGAGGAGATCCCAAGCTTACTAACCGCAGACGGTACCTCATGCGTTAATGCAATGAAAAAAAAACTAAACTGCGAAGCAGGAATAACAAGAGTGGTTTTGAAGTGTTACTATAGTAACAAGGACAGCACTAAATGTTCAGGTTAGCACTTAGGGAACTGTATACATGCAAAGCAATGATTGGTGTGATAAATTTGAAATTTTCGTTTTTGTAACAGAATAGAAAGTTGGGCGAGTTGGTGTGTATTCATATTCAAAGAAAAGCGGCGCACAAAAAAGACGGAGACAAAGAAGAGAACCGCTGTGTGTGCGCTGTGTGTGCACACAGCGGAACCACACACAGCGGCAGCGCTGTGTGTGGTTCTCTTCTTTGTCTCCGTCTTTTTGTGCGCCGCTTTTCTTTTTCGTTTTTGCTTGCTTCCTTTAAAAATATATGCATAAAAAAATCACAGCCGTGGCACATAGTACAAATGGTTAACCGGGGTTAGCTGAAGCGTTCGGCACTGGTGTTCAGCAGTGGGTTCAACCCTACGCTGCACAGAAGCCTATCACGATTATTGGTTACGTGGTAGTGCTTCTCAATCAGCTTAGACATAAGTTTGGCTCGGGTTCACCACAGCGTTTATTTCACATGCTGCACATTATGCCTAGCATGATAACGGTCATTGAAAATTGTTGTGAGTGGTTAAATGCGTTTCGTAATGCGTTAATCGCAGTGGTTGTTCTCGAGCCACAAGCGGGTGCAGACGTCGCCGCTGAAGATAATGTGCTGCTGGATAAATTCCCGGCAAACGCGCTCCCGCAATGATCACATTGACACCGCAACGCCGTGTTGTTGCCAACGTTTGATATCGCGAGCTATACCTCACAACGCAGTCAAGGGCGTGCAAGGGTACGATACTGTAAACGACGTAACAGATAACACAGCCAGTAGAGACCACTTATGACGCTGCTGCCGGACGGTTCTGCGTTTCTCCTTTAGCCATACACAGCTCTCGCTGTAAATGAAAAGAGAGAAAAAGAAAACTTTCTTTGCGCATAACGCAGAGCATTCCAAATGGTCAGGCCCGTATTCCAGGGCTCCGCTGGCCCATAGCCATCATCTCTACCCGTTGAACCAGCCAGCGCTGGTCAGCAATGGCCGAGCCGGACAGCAGTGCCTCCCATTGTTCCTCTGTGTTGTTCACGTCGTGGTGTTCTTCATTGAGATGTGTACACTCCCACGGGATGTGAAACAAAGCTGGTGTAAGCATTACGCATTTATTTCTGTACACACAACGAGCGTGGAGATATGTACTTTACTTTGTCACGCGCATTCTAGATAGCTTTGAGCAGTTTTCCAGCCGGCCTCAACTGCTGTACTGTAAAAACGTTGATTCATTAATATATTGTACTCATTATGCATTTTAGATCGTTCTTGTGTGTACTTGCGCGTCCATCAGTGTGCCGGTTCGAGCGCCCGTGGTGAATGTATGGACTGATCAACAACCATGCTCACAAAATAAGTGGGTGCGGCGGAACTGGAGTCCATGTTTGCGTCACATCTTCAGTCATTTGTCCTGTCATTGTTCTAAGCGCAATGTTATGGCCACGCAGGTTGTTTTCTAATAGTGCCGTCCACTGATGCTGATTTGCAAGAGCTGTTTGCATTTTGAACATTTTTACCCTGATACAAGTCGTTGAGAAAGGCACACCATCACTTCTTTTTAATCTTTGTATGCACTGCGAAGCCTGTTTTCTTTTTCTCCACCTGGGGCAGCCATACTACTTTGCAGACTACGTAGTTGGTTCACCCTGAAATGTAGACTTGCGCAAAGCAGAAAGAGCGGAGAATAAGGGAGACAAGATAGAGCGCGGACTACCAACTGTTTATTTTCAGCTCACAGAGTGAATATATAGACTTGCATCAGACTGCACCATCACAGTGTGCAGTGTTACAAACGAGGTGCATGTTCCGCAGCTGTTGTTATCTGTGGTACCGACTTTAAAGGAACCTTGAATTAGTGCGCATTGTGTGATAACTTACTGTTATTTATATAGGCTTCGTGAGCTAAAGATAAACAATTGGTAGCCTGTGCTCCATCCTGACTTCCTTCTTCTCTGTTCTTTCTGCTTGCGCAGCAAGTCTACACTTCAGCATGAGGTGTGTCACACTGAGACTTTTTAAAACTAAGACATCTTGGCATCCCAGAGTGGGCATGGGCCATATTCTGTAACACTCAAACAAACAAACAGACTTCGCTCCCCTCCCCTAATGGGAAACCCTGCGCAAGCCTGTGTCTTCAACCCAACGTTCCCGCAACATGAGACGCCTTCTCTACTGTCGATATATTCATTTCGACCCTCCTAACACCTTCAGAGGCATCTCTATGGCACTACAGGACTTATTCCTTTGTAGCTGATCACGTATGCGGTATAGCCTAATCCGCTTTGTGAGGCAAGATAAGCGGAAAATGCTTACGCGGTCACGATGTGAGGGTACTTCACCCTAAACCAGGCGGCCAGCATCCCGCCGTACGAGCCCCCGAACGCCACCACGGCGCTCTTCTCAGCTCCAGGTATCGTGTACTTCAGGTGCAGTATGAGGTCTGCGTAGTCGGCCAGTGCTTGCTCAGACGTGAGATAGCCGAGGTGGTGAGGACTCTGCGGCGCAGTGTGATCGAAACGATGAAATCAAATACCTTCTGTTTTCTTTTTTGTGTTATTTTTCAAAGGCTGCAAAAGTTTCTGAAAGGTTGGGTTTCCGAGGAAAGAAGCAGCTTCCGCCAGGAACCACGTCACGTGCGGCGTTTGTGCATAAATGTTCAAAACAAGTTAACTCGTAATTTATTATATACTTACATCCACTGATTATTTTTAAATATTTACTTTACGAATTATTAATTACTTTCCACATTTAATGAATCATTCGGGCACCGCTATACATTCTAGGTACTCATTTTGATAACGTGCAACTATCTACGTGGGCTCTCTAGTTACTTCTTCGGTTTCTGATGCCCCTCGTTCTACTGCTTGTAGAGCTCTACAATTTTCCCAGGGATCGTTCGTTGAGTGTATATGTTTCTGACGTTGTATGTTTTCTCAGATTTCATGCCCTTCCCGATCTTTTTTTTTTCAGTTTTGAAGTTTTTCTTTTTTTTTGAGTCTTCGTAAACGCGCGTCTTGCTTTGTGGTAGCAGTTATAAAAGGTTGCAGAACTCATTTAAAACAACGCTATTCTCAAACAGTGTCACATAAGACGTGCCCATATAAGTAACAGAAGCCTCAGAGACAACTGCTGCACCCAAACATTCTTTTGCGAAAAAGTCACAACAAAGTATAAACTGCTTGAGCAAGTTTAGGGCAAATAAGCCATTGATGTAACCAGGACAAATGTGTATACATAATCATCTGATTTTTTTCAACGTTACGCAAGTGCAGAGACCTGCTAACAAGCGTGCATATTTTACACAAGCCGAGTTTTGCAGAGCTCACGGCAATGTAACTCAGGCTTTGCAAATCTAAAGTTATGAAAAACCAATGCAAAATGTTCGTGGCCAGGGATGGCTTAGCTGCATAAATCCTTTCAAAACCACTGATATGACCCATGCTGACCGAGGTCAGAGGTAGGGCGCGTGGCACACTGTGTAGGCCGTCGAAACTCGGAAGCGCGTTGAAGCTGAAACTTACCTGGTATGACTCGTTTCCGAACGGCAGCGACTGGCCGTAAAACCGATGCTCGGCGAACACTACGAGGGCTTTGAACTCTGGCGCCCACTCCCACATGATGCCCTGCGGGATAACGAGACACTTGTTCTACAGGCAGCTGGTTTATTGTGTCATATCGCGAAAAAGCCGCAACTCGAGAAATGGATAACCTCAGACGGAAACAAAGAGCGATATGCGACGATATATTTGATGATGATGATGATGATTATGATGATGATGATGATAGCCTATAAGTGTGGCTCATGCCCACTCTGGGGGATTGGTCAAGAAACAAATAATTAGAGAATAGTTAAATCAAATATTAATTGTATGCCTAGCGAATTATAAAATGGTTACGAACTAAATTTTACTAATTCAGAGACCTGCGATCGAAACCGCCTTGATTCGATTAAGAATCTTTCCACAGCAGATCAGATATCCCAGTTACAATGACCTAATGGGGAGGCTCCCAGGGAAAGAATGTGAAAACTATTAAAATCTTATATAATTGGAATAAAAGCCGCTTTAGTAATGTTTTTTCTTAGTGATTTGAAATGCCTACACAATAAAGAATAATGTTCGAAAGCTTTGAATACAAACACACATTCTTTCTTACAACAACGCACTTTGCGCAGTATAAAAGACTAAATATTGTGGACTGAAGCACAGAAATTATTATTTCAATGGCTCTTTCTTACGTGAAAAAAATTACACGCGAATAATTTCGAAATTTGTCAAGCTTCAAAAATGATGCGTTATGAAAACAGAATTTGAAAATATAAAACTGTGCTTACCGTGTTTGTAATAAACTTTTCCAACTGTTCTTCATTTCCAGTGTAAAAAAATATCGGCCCGCCATCGCGGTTCCAATACTGATCAGCCATCACGTAGCGTATCTCGAATGTCTTATTGTTGTGAAATGCAAAGTGGTCCAACTAAAAGAAAGAAACAATAAGGAGAGGAGAGGGTTGTAAGTAAAGCATCACTACGAATCCCAAAAACCTTTTTTATGAGTATATAGTTATGCGAGTATAACGGGAATTATAATTGGAAGCCGCTCAAAGTTGAGAAACAGTATATATATACTACTGTTTTGCGGCCTACATTTATCTATACCTTATATGTCCAAAGAAAAATACTGCATTCATTCTGCCTGGAATGTCTACAATTTCGAAGGAGGTGAAATCGTAGAGTTCATGTACTTAGGTGTAGAAATTCGTGTATTATATACGTGCACCCCATGTGTTTGACATTTTCGTAGCCCTCTAGTGCGGGGTCACTCACAGCCATATCGTGGCTTTGGGACGTAAAAATTCATAAATTACTTGTACATAGACAGGTCAGGCTTGCGCATGCATAGTCACCATACTCTTGATGGCATTGCATCTGGTCGCAATCACCGTTATTTTCAAACTCTCTTCAAATCTGAATCATTGCTGAGACGCTCGCCAAATGAACGCTCACACGTGCTCACGTTTTCCGTGAACCATTTTCCCATTTAAATAATCTGGCAGACATAACGGTTTTGGTTGTAACAACTTGGTGAGGGCCAGTTGGTTCATAGTTAGAGCCATGAACGAAACAGCGTGAAATTAACAAGGGCGAAAAAAGGAGCGAATACCAAAATGGCAAAGAACGAAAACCATGAGACAGCGCTTAACCCGTGGTCTTCGGTCTTATGTCATTCTTCTTTATTCAGTGCTTTTCCTTTCTCCACGATAAATAATGGTTTCTTTTTCAACGTTTCCAAACAACTTCCAACATTTTTAATTCTTGTAAAGGTTTCTCAGTGCTTTGTCTTAAGGGCCACTTTAGTACGAAAGATGTGTCCACGTAATTCGTGTTGCGCGGGCTACGACAGGCTTGTGTTGAAATGAAAATATTCTGGAGAATGAAATACCTTTGTTCGGAACTTGTACTCCTTGTATGAAGTGTCAACCGCTGCACCTGACACCGAGAGGGTGGCACAAAGGCCCACGATTATTCGTAACAATGCATTAATTGTCATCGTCGCGTTTCTCCGTGAGGGCTCCTTGCATTGGCCTCAAGTCCAACGATTCGGCGACGCCTCGATTCAAGCCCCAAGTTGTACCGACGGCTGTCGCACCACAACGCTTCGCACGTGTTTTCGGTGGAATGCTTCCGAATGCGTCCCTCTATTGATTCAGGCCGCGTGGCTTGCGATAAGCAGAGCGATAGGCTATCATTTCTATCCCAGGATGAGGCCGCGTTTTCTCTTGTCTCGCATTTATCGCTACTGCCCCGAGAGATAGAGAGAGAAAGATAGCGTACAGGCATGTCGATGACTTTGGGCGATGTGGTACATTGGCAGCCTGTATATGTGTTTCGCTGCTGAGAGTTTCACAGAGTGCATTGCACTTTCGCACAGGATGACGAGCGCCCACAAGGTGCAGTAAGAATTTACCGTACATGACACAATCAAGTGGGCCGTTACCGCTAGCCATTATGAGTATATTTTAATTCACCTAAATTGCGACCTTGTTTCATTGCATTACGTAGCGAATTCGCAGCATTGCATTCGCCACCATAACGGCATCAAATGAAGCCTGCTCAGTGCAAGTGGATTTTCGAAGCAACTGCTACATCACCCAACACCTAATTTTTGATAGATAATCACAAATGAAGTCAAACAAATAGAACACTCGTGTTTGTGCTGCAGGGAAGTAGTGCGTGGCTTGCGGAAAAGCAGGGCGTTGACACGCTCAATGAAAAAGAAATTGATGGATCTTCGTTGGCTGTGGTGCGCACTTTTTTATGTGATTCGTGCGAAGTTTTCTCATCAAATCTAATTTTTACATGTATTACAGATGTGTATATCTCTCTTGTTTCCTGTTGAATCTTTTTTGGCTCCTGTGCGATTAATCATTCTCCACTAATTTATCCTTTTTGTCTCTTCGTTCAGGAGTAATTGAAGTTAAGGTTTGCCTATGCTTCTCCTGGCTTGCGTTTTCTGGCGCGCAGTCCGAAACGAAGAGATTCACGTGTTTTCTTCCAGCCGTTTACTTTATTCGGTTCGCGTAATTTGCAATAGCCAGAATTTCGCACGTGCGACGAAGCGAAGGTGCAGCCTGATGCTATAGCAGCCACCGCCGGAACGCTCTCTTAGCAACCCGTCTGCCCAGTCGAAGCGAATGCGGGTCCCAGCGGTCGTTGGAAAACCGCAGGTCCAGGCAGTGGGCCCCGCCTCGAATGCTTCGGTACTCCACGTAACGCGACGGTGCCACGTCGATTCCGTACGCCGACCATGGGTCCAAATTTCCGTAGCTGCAAAAAACAAGAGGGGAGGTGGAGTGATTCTTAAGAAAGAAAGAGAAAGGAAGAGAAAAGTGAGCCCCGTTATTGTCTGCTTCAATGAGCGACACTGCCACAGTACCTCACAAGGGATGGGGGTGAGGAGGGATAAAAAGGGTAGAAGTAAAGGTATAGAAAAGAGGAAGAAGAAGCAACAACAAACTGAGGGGATAGGAGAGACAGGAAAGATGGAAGCACGGTCACTGGAGTCCGAGGACGGGGTACACTTGCGAGAGGTGTTGTCGGCGTCTGTAGATGGCGTAGAGCAGGTTCGGTAAGTCATAGCTACACTGTCATCGAAGGTCGTCGGCGGCAGGAGGTGACGTAGGGCGAGCCCAGTCGGCCAGAGCTGCGCTGTCGTCGGAGATCGCGAGGGCACAACCGGTCGGCACGGAATCCAGCAAGCGACTCACACAAGAGGGGAGGGGGACGCACGTACTTTCAAACCGCATTGTTTCCCAATGATCATGGCAATATGCAATATAAAATGAAAGTGTTCGCACCCACTAAGGCCAACTTCGCTCCGTATGCTCTAAATAGAGCTGGCACTGTTCGGAAAGTATTTTTGTTGTTCGATCATTATCCTCTGGCTTGCTTCTTGCTTGCGTTTTTCGCTGAAAAACATGATGACTGAAAGATAAACCATGACCTTTCGAAGGAACTCGTCGCACACTATGTCCCGCCACAGCCAAAAGCAAGCTTTTGTGTCCGTTGTCTGATGCCTGAAGGGCTATTGACACAAAAATTGGGACGACGTGGCTTTAGCTGCAACAAGTTGCTGGAGGCTGATTAGTCATAACATGGCACATCACCGGCTCCAGCACGCCACAGGTGTATTACTATCTTAATGAAACATCTAACATGCAGTAAACAAAGTTTGCCTACCATTGCCACATATCTATTAGGCCTACCATTGCCACATATCTGTCGCCATTTATTCTTTCTTATGCTTACTGATGGTGCGCTTGACAACTATTTATTTATTTATTTATTTATTTACTTATTTAATTGCTTATTTTATTTATTTATTTATTTATTTACTTATTTATTTGCTTATTTTATTTATTTATTTATTTATTTATTTATTTATTTATTTATTTATTTATTTATTTATTTATTTATTTATTATATGCTCAAGTGCAGATCAGTTTTGATAGACTCATCCGATAATAGGAAGCGATGACAAAAGTATACTAGGCCTTGTTTAAAAACATGAACGAATTTGGAAAGATCGTACCATAACACAAGAAAATAACGGTACACAAAACAAAACATCACACAAGTTAAGTAGAAAAGTATGGCTCCCCATTGAAATAATAATAGTACTTCATGTTGTTTCTCGGGGGAACGTCATTCCTCTCTAGAAACGTTTACCTAAGGAATCAGTTTTGGATAAGGGACGTCTTGTGTATTTTTGTTTCAATCTGTGTACAGTTATTGCATGAATAAACTTAAAAGCTAGGCTCTTGGGAAACCCTGAGCCTGAACAAAATTTCACCTTCTCGAGTTCAAAACTGAAAACTTGCGCAAGAAACGAAGGAAGCGGAATTTATCAAGAGCTCATTTGTCTTCGATAAACACAACCCGAATGAAAATCGCAATATAATTAAAAAACTACAAGTACCTTCCTCCATACGTCCGTAAGCTTCGCTGCTTGTAGGTTTTCGTTCAGGTTGTATTGTTACCAAGTAAATGCGAGATCTTCATTCGTTTATTCATAGTGAGGATCTCCGTCCGGTACACTTAATTCATTCATGTGGTATGCGGGAACTTATTTGTCAGCTGCCAGCTCCTACGAATATGACGTGCTCCGTAATTCTAGCTGGCAAAAAAAAATAAAGAAAGAAAAAAAGAAGGAAGGAAGGGAGAACGAAAGAAGGAAGGAAGGGAGAAAGAAAGAAGGAAGGAAGGGAGAAAGAAAGAAAGAAGGAAGGGAGAAAGAAAGAAAGAAGGAAGGGAGAAAGAAAGAAAGAAATGAAGAAAGAAAGAAAGAAAGAAAGAAAGAAAGAAAGAAAGAAAGAAAGAAAGAAAGAAAGAAAGAAAGAAAGAAAGAAAGAAAGAAAGAAAGAAAGAAAGAAAGAAAGAAAGAAAGAAAGAAAGAAAGCGTTCCACACTTTGCGTCATGGCTATGAACGGTACTGGCTGACTCTCCTAAACTTACTTGAACAGACGACTCCACTGTAAAAGGGAACGCCGGAGTGGGCACATCGTGTTTAGATTTCGCTATGTTACCGAAGCATAGTAGGTTAGATATGTATGACTTGAGGTGGTTGAAATTTTGACTCTCCTTCACATACTATTGATTTGCATACAGATTGTTTTCATAACCACTTGCTCTTAGAGGACCAGCAATATTATTGATGTCCAGCATTGGAGTCTTCCCTTCAACACTGGACGTTACTGAACATAAAACTTTTATGAAGTGGACGGGAAAAGGCTCGCTACTAAGGCTTGAACGATAGAGCATCGGAGGCATTGTCGGAAGGTTATAGATTCGTTTCGTACTGGTGGAAAAATGTATTTTAGCCCACTTTAATTTATTTGTCCTCATATGATAACTTGTATACTCTGCAATTAAAAGACCATACTGCCCCGCCGAGGTAGTCTAGTGGCTAAGGTACTCGGCTGCTGATCCGCAGGTTGCGGGACCAAATCCCGGCTGAGGCAGCTGCATTTTCAATGGAAGCGAAAATGCTGTTGGTCTGTGTGCTCAGACTTGAGTGCACGTTAAAGACTCCCAGGTGGTCTAACCCCCGTACTCAAAAACACTCCTCGACTTGACTTCCACCCTTCACTTGACAGACTTGAGCACTGCGCCACCGCTCGGCTGAAAATGGCGCTGCGCTACTCAAGGATCGCAGCAGATTATCGCTAATATGCAGTGATTTGCCGGGTCTAGAGACGGCGCTCCCATTGGCTTTCTCAAGAGAAGGTGAAGAGTTGAGTGAAGGGACGTTCTTGAATGCGGGGGTAAATTTCCGAAGCCCTCCACTATGGCGTCTCTCGTAATCATATGGTGGTTTTCATATTAACTAATCATGAATCAAGAAGACCATAACTAATACCCCCGATATCAACGTTAGCTTCAGTGTCTGTCAGTTTTCAAACATGTTGCACTTACGTGAAGAACACCCTCGCCGTGCCGCACAGGTTGAAACCTCCCAGTGATCTGACGATCCTGTCGACTTTAGGGTGGACACCGAACTGTAGACGGCACTTCTGGCAGAACTTTGCATAGTCCCACTCGGTCGGGTAGAACATGTCCGCCACACCGTCTCCGCAGAATGGTTGAACGAATTCGGTGCATTGCTGCAGCCGAGAAAAGTGGCACGCGTCGTAATTTGTAACCGTCCTTCAAATTAATTTCGCTGGAAGGGTTAAGGGAACGCATAAAACTCAGGAGCATAGAGGCTAAATTGCGCTGCATAATGAACATAAACACCACAACTATTTGTGAATTAGACACAATATTGAGACTTTTGAATGCAGAGAAAGGATAGCTATTTATTGTAAGATTTTTCCTATCATGTAGAACACGACAACTTGCTCGTTACTCAGCACAGAAATAGTTAAGTGGCGAAAATGTTTTACAAGAAGCCTAGAAGTTACATGGAATGTATGCAATGAAGCATCTATTCACAGTTGTTAGAAGAGCCAATATTTAAAAGCCTTATACATCGCAAATTGACGCCTTACTCTTCAAGTACGTTTCAAACATGCACAGAGGACTCCGTTCTTCAAGCACATAAAACCTTAAAACGTGGCTTTTGTACATGAAAACGTCAGTATTGTAAAAATATAAATAAGATCTTGTCGTGCGTGCAAATGAGTTCTGCATAAACCCGCAAGGTGACGGAAGGGTTTAGAAAGGGAAAGAATACAACCACCCGTTTGCAGGCCCCGCCGCGGTGGTCTAGTGGCTAAGGTACTCGGCTGCTGACCCGCAGGTCGCGGGTTCAAATCCCGGCTGCGGCGGCTGCATTTCCGATGGAGGCGGAAATGTTTTAGGCCCGTGTGCTCCGATTTGGGTGCACGTTAAAGAACCCCAGGTGGTCGAAATTTCCGGAGCTCTCCACTACGGCGTCTCTCATAATCATATAGTGGTTTTGGGACGTTAAACCCCACATATCAATCAATCAATCAAATCACCCGTTTGCAGCACAAAGCCACAAGGAAAGCCGTACGCATTTCCTTGTGGATTCGTGCTGCAAACGGATGGTTGTGTTCTTTTACTTTAAGGTCTTTTCGTGTTTGTTTTATGAAAAGAAGAAGTGAATCAGAAGGCCCAAGTCCCTGAGTGGGTCCAGCTAACCACGGTCATGCTGTGAAGTAGCTAATGTATGATTCAGTGTAGCACACCGGTCTGGGTAACAACACACCTGCCATGAATGTAGGGCCTCCACGAAGTGAATGCTACCAAAGCACAATTCGAGTCAGGAGATATATTCTGTTGGCGAACCATCGGTTCGTGCGCGGCTGGTTCCCGCAACAACCTTTTCCGGCACCAGTATGCTGTTTTACCGCAGTACATTTCTGCATCGCGGTGCAGTGCTGCAAACCTCCTGGGTAAGTCAAAGTGGGGCAAGCGCTTTGCCATACAACTTGCAAGGACAACAGCTTTCTGTATTTTGCTCATATGCCTCACTCTCAGAGGCAAGAAGAAACCGGCTACACTTGTCATGACAAGTAAGCTGTATACAAGGCGTCCCTGATATCTTTTAACCAGAGTTTGACAATACGCCAGCTCACTCAACGGCGATGCAACGAAATGCCCGTTGTTCAATACGGCCTTGAAGGAGTCAGTCTATTTTGTATGTTCCGATTAATTGCTTAATCAGGTACTTTGATTAGGTAACACTTAAAGCAACAAAGCTGGGCTAAACATTCGAATGAAACTATTGTAGAACGCTTTGCGAAACGTCCGATTACATAGTTTCGAACTTATAGTATATATTCTTGCGAGTTCTGAACTAAACGTTCTAGGAAGTGTGGCGCCTGTTTTGTCTACGTCTATATCTTTTGTATTCGTGATTCATGCGCTACCCTTACAAAGACAGACGAAAGAGGCGCCGTTTTGTTCCAACGTAGGTAAGCTATAAATGTGTAACGAATAAAGTGATGACTAGCATACCTGATAAAGCCTTGCAGGCTCCTCGGTAGCAGCTGGTACGGCATAGCACGCTGTTTTGCCTGTTCCGTTACGAAAGAAGCCGACTGCCTCGATGACAGCGTCCATCAAACGGCTGTCGTTCCTCTCAGACTTTCTTAGGTGAGCGCATACAACCTGGAAAGATGTGTTTTTAGGGTAACCCTGTTTGAGGGGCTGAACACTTTTACGAGCAATAAACTAATGTCTATAAATCAGTTTACTCTCTCACTAGTCAATGGTGGTGGTGGAAAAAACTTCACTTATTGTCCGGCAAATTAGCGGCCCGGGCTGAGGTCTCCCATGTCGGGACGTCAAGGCCCTGTCTCTCCGCCACTTCACGGGCCTGCTGGACTGCCACAAAAGTTTTTAGAATCCGTAAAGTATATACGAGCCGGGTTACAGGGGCGTTTTGCACGCTTTCGGCGCCTTTTCTCTCATTTCGTACCAGCAAGCGTGCTCAAAACTACGCTAGTGTGAATGAAAAGGTGGCAAGCAGCTACATCCGCTCACTAGCAGGCGTCGTGGCCTTGAGCACTTTTTTTTTATAACGCGCAGCTTACGTTTGTTGTGATTGCGAGTGAGCGCGCGGGCACGTAGCGGCATCTTGTGGCGGCCGTAATAACTATGCCGCTCACGATGCTCTAATCATCCAATGGCCGCAGACGTTGGGTTTATGGCACACTCATGTGGGTTTATGGCATCATTTGTAAAAAAAAGCAGCGTAAAATTACTAGTTAACTCTGAGAAATGGTTTTAAATTCTGAGTCGCATGCGGCGCTATAATGTTTGGCTCACATATAATCATGATCCTCGACTCCGAAAATGACTGATTGGGCGAGTTCGTGATTCATGATTGCTTTAAATACGAGCGCGTAACGTAGACAAGGACTAACTATATGACACGGACAAGCGCGTCCATGTCTTCGTCCTTGTCCAAATTACGCACTCCTATATTTCAAGCCTCGACTACCGTTCGGCAGACTTTTCTCACCGTGCTCGAAAAGTTTCTCTGTAAGAATTAGCCCAAACTGTGTGGTGTAGTAGAAACGAAAAGTTGCGCTAGTTGGAATGCTTTCGTGATCACCACAGCGCTGAAAACGAAGGCCTAAGATTACACACAGTGCGATTGTGTCTAGAGTGCTGTCCTGGACATTGTTACATTCCGTCATTCTCTGAATCTCATTAGTCCAGAGGGCTGCTACGTCCTTCGAGATTGGCCTAAAGTGATGGCATCACGAAATGAATGGAACCCTGAATGGAACCTCCGTTTAGGCGAACTACGCCTCGCACTGACCTTTAGCGGTTGTGGCGGCACTTGGGACGAGCGAAACGGGTAGTTCACCAGTGTCACGCCAATCAGACTGTCACGCACCCAGCCGCGGAAAGACGCCAAGTGGTTGGAACTCAGCCGCTGACAAAGACGAAATCTTTCGCCAAGTTTGCGACATCCTTCTTCTGCAAGCGGTCATACATTAGAAAAAAAATCGAAGCAGGATCTAACAAAGCAAGGAATATCACTAAAGCCCCACATTAACCGAGCAACGTATACCAGCTTTCGTGAGACCCAGTGAAGTCACTGTATTTGCTTAAAGATCCCCTCCCCCTCTAGGGGTTTTACATAAGGGTTGCTGTTAAAAAATATACATGGGTGCTTTTTAATAGCGTTGGCAAACATAGATCAGTTGATAATGGCACAGATGGCGTTAGGAACGCCGTTCCAGGTTTTCTTTGCTCGTACGAAAAAGGAGACTTAGAATGCAGTGGTCCGGGTACGTGCTATTGCTATTTAAAGCGGATGACCAGTGTGGTGAGATATGTGTGAAGGGGGCTATTCAAAATGCAAAAGCAGCAACACCACAGAAGCATTTATATACACAAAGCTCTTTTTTTACTCTATGCCAAGTGTCGGCAACCTTCGACCCACATGGAAGTATTATGCGCTAAAAAATTTAGACGACGCAAATCAACGGGGAAGTATACGCGAAAGCAAAGTTGCTAGTTGCGAGTTGTCACTCTTTTCTGTCACCTATTATTTCCGGGTGGTTTGCGTCACCTAATTTTCTTGTAACATGCACCAACAAGCCCAAAAACAAGTTTTATTAAACTACTTTGCCCTCCCGGCGCAAAATCACTCCCACCTTCTTTGTCATTTCCTATCTGAAGGCTGGACGGCTAAACCGAAGTTTAGCCGTCCTGCCTTTCAGATGGGGAATGCATCCCAGCTGCGGTGGCTGCCTTTTCAATGGAGGCTAAAATTTTGTAGGCTCGGGTGCTCAAATTTGGGTGCACGTTAAAGGGGCCCTGAAACGTTTATTTAAGTAACCATGAAGTTAATTCACTGGAAAAGCGTATTGCCTCAAAAAATTAACGCCGCAAAATTTTTAAGAATCAGTCCAGTACGAGTGGAGTTACAAAGATTTGTCACACGCTGCAATCGCATTTTTCCTTCTCTCATCCCGACGAGAGCGGTGGAAGCTAAACAGAGAGAGATGGGAAGGACAAAAAAAATGGTCACGCTCACCCTCCTGACTTTGGGCATTTTTTTCTTCGAATGCGCAAGTTTTTGAGTTTAATCACACGCGCCCGTGTACGACAAGTAGCGGCCTCCCATGGTGATCTCTGTAATGACCTAGCGCGCCATGTTCAAATCAGTCAATGGCTGTAGATGGGCTCACTACGAGTGATTTTTGCGCTTATTCCGTGATTTGTCGAGAGAACAGAAAGTAATTTTTGCAGACTTTGATAATTTATTGTGAAATCCTGGACGCGTGCTGCGCTATATATTTGGCTCGCGTGCTTTCGGCAGCCTCTACTACCAATCGGAAGCGTTTTCTGACCACGCTCAAAAAGTGTTGCAGGGCCCCTTTGAAGAGCCCCAGCTGGTCGAAATTTCCGAAGCTCTCCACTATGGCGTCTCTCTTAATCATACCATGTTCGGGACGTTAAACCACACATATTATTAGTATTATTATTATTAATATTATTATTTGAAGATTGACATTGCAGTTTTGGCCACCAATTGGGTTTTAGCTTTTAACCTACGTTTGTCTCTAAACTGGAACCTTGTTACATGCGCGCCATAAATAAACATGAAATCTATTCCGTGTTTCTTTTAGATTATTGTCAATTAGAATTCGCAGAATGTTTTTTTTTTCTGTTTGCTTGTAAACACCTCCCCTATCGGCCCGTGCGGCCTCCCACCGTGTCAGCTTCATGCAACCTAGGCCCGCCACCATAAAGGTCGTCGACCCCTGCTTCATTGCAATAGAGCTAGAATAAAATACACAAGTGCTTACAATACGACAGATAATTCGATAGCGGAATCCCTGCTTAGGCACCCTCTACGAAACTCGTAAAGGAACTTGTTGTTTAGCTAGATAGATGATTTCCAAAAAAAAACATTCTTAGCGCAAGCTCATGACACATTCACACACACCCACAAACAAGCACCCAACACGTGCAGATCTCACTTGTAACTATATTGTTCACCGCACGAATGCTTGAGTATATAAAACACGTGGCACATGCGCCCCTTAACGCCATCCAACTATAAGTTGCATGCTGTGCAGAACAGCGCCATTAGGCGCATCACCATCAAGTTTCAGCGGACAAAACAATGCTCAATCGTTGGCGTCTTCTCTAAGTAGACCTATGATGACGAACTTGATGTGATTGAGTTTTCAAAGAATTATTTAACAGCCTAAGCTGATTTAGTGTTACACTTTAGTGCATATTTGAGTACTACGGAGGTCGTTATTATCGAAAGCCCCGCCGCGGTGGTCTAGAGGCTAAGCTAGGCGGCTGTTGACCCGCACATCGCGGGATCGAATCCCAGCTGCGGCATTTTCGATGGAGGCGAAAATGCTCCAAGCCAGTGCGCTCAGATTTCGGTTCACGTTACAGAACCCCAGGTGGTCGAAATTTTCGGATCCCTCCACCACGGCGTCTCTCATAATCATATGGTGGTTTTGGGACGTTAAATCACATATATCAATCAATATAATCAATCATTGAAAGTTACCCGTAGATGCTAGAGCTTCGAGCAAGGGCCATATCCGCTTGACCTCTCTGGGGCAATGTTTCCACGTCTGTTTGTAGATGTCAGTGACTGCCTTATAGAAGGTGTCGCACTTGGTGGCAGGCGAGAACATCTTGAAGGGGGCGCTGCTGGCCAGAGCTCTGCACGATGAAGAAGAAATACACATGCGCATGGCACTCATTTTGTTATATTTTTCTCTCTCGGCATTTCTCTCATCTCGGCCACCGCACGCGGCAAAGATCTCTCTTCGCTTGATGTTATGAACAGTGCTATTTGCTATAAAAAAAAAACAGGTGGTGCATCTGTGTGCTTCGTTGCAAATGTCCTCGAAAAACGATAGTCTGCTGCCTGCTTTATTTAGTGCATAGTGTCGCATTTTCACCGCTGCCTAAGAAACACCAGGTTATTTTTAATTACTTACCTATGTATTTTGTAGTGAGGGAACACACCATTTATTAATTACGTATTGACGTGTGCCTCAGATATGCGTAATATTTGCTTTTTTATTTAATATGTTGACAAGTGTAAACGCGTGCACCAGTTAAAGGTGGCGAGGCGCTTATCCGGGTGGCTCAGTTTCGCCGGGTGGCTGAATCGTGCGACAGACAGACAGAAATTTTCACGTTCGAGTATCCCAAGAAATACAATCGTCTTTAAAAGTACAGCAGTACTTTTCCACGCTACACACTTAAGATTTGGTTCGTCATATAAACTTTTAAGCGGGGAGCACTTAGAGAACCCGAGCTGTCGTAGGCTGTCGTGTGTTGTTATATCCTGTCCTCGTCTCATGCAACTTGACGCAACGCTGGCAAAACCACGTTAAGCATATAGCCATTTGTAGCATACTGAGCACACTCTCTCGCCGAGAAGAAGGCTTCTTCCGTCGAATATTCTAGCGTTATCGCTAGTGGCCGGGTAGGCTCCAGAATAATCTGTAATGTTCGCAAAGGGGGCGTAATCTTAAGAAAACGATCTACTACAGTCCTGAAGCTTCTCGAACACTGCAGGCGTGGATTGCGCTCAGAATCACTAACAGTGTCACGGGGTGATCACAAAACTACAAGAAGGAATGTGGCCATATCAAGTGATATGAAGTGATGATACTTCATATCATTCAGGGGCCCAGGCTGTGGTATGCTTCCGTCGCTTAGAATAACGCAGGCCAAATCACGTGCGAAACGAGATAAAGGGGGGAAGCAGGTTAAAAGTAGAAAGAGGAACAACGGAAAAACGTAAAAATAAAAACACAGACAAACAGAACCAAGGAAGTAAAAAAGAAATAATCTGGTAAAGAAAATACAGAGGCAAGGAAGAGAAAACCGGTGACAAAGAAAGAAAGCTCCCCAGCTGTCCTCCCTTTAGGCTTGGCACCACTAAAGCGAAGCTGCAATAATTTTTTTTATTTCTAATGTTACCCCTAAACTTGCGTGTATCATGCGTTTTGGACAGACGCCAAGGCACCTTCAGGGTGCATTTCAGTGTTTTTTGTCGGGTCAGAGCCCGAGCCTTTATTCCCCATGGTTCATCCCCCTTGGCCTAAACCATCAGTTTTGTTTTCAAGTCAACTTTATCAAATAGTTCGGCTGAGCTACATGGGTAGCATATCTACAGGGATTCCCCCCCTCCCCCCAAAAAAAAACTGACCGGGAGACCTCATATGGCTACTTACAAGGTAATTATAAAAATGCAGCAAAACTATAGGAACGTATGAGCAATGATATATCAGCTTTATAAACAACTCTAAAATCAATACATACTTTAGTTGTGGCCCTTACTTTTTAGGAAAACGACATGAATTCGATCCAAAACCATGCGAATGAACGTAAACACAGCTTCACTGGTTGACTGAATATTTTCGCGACCTGGTTACGCAGCCTAGTGCTCTAATTTCGAAACTGGGCTATACTGACATGTGAACAGCATGCTATACAGTTTTATTAGCGAAATTCGCGAGGCTATAGAAAGCTTTATTTTGTATATACCTCCACCTGACCGTGCTAGTTTAACGGTCATAGTACTCTAGCGCTGACACGAGGTCCTACAGATCAAATATCCCACCGGCACGTTCAAGAACCAAGTGGTCGAAATTTCCAGAGTCGTCCACTCGAGCGTTCCTCATAATCGCACCGCAGTTTTCGGACCTAATACATCTGTCACGCGGCAACCCCCGAACCCCTTTTACCTCGGTTCAGCATTTATCTCCCTAATAGAGCTTTACGAGAAGGAAGTTGTGGCCATGCTACACGACTAGGTGCAAGCTTTCCACGGTAGCCACACGGGGCAGAAACGGTGCTTGTCGAAATATCCCCTTTTTTCACATATGTAGTCGTCTTTAAAGCAACGTACACGTGTTTCTATTTCTCTCTCTTTGTATGCATTCTAATAAATATAATGTTGGAAATTACACTGCACCCGTGCGTGCGTCTCGCATGGTTATAAACAAACAATATGACGCAACACTGGCTGGTGGCGGCTTGGCGAAGCGTTAGGTGAAGAGAGTGCAGACACTGATGTTCTCAAAATTAGAATTGGAACATATACGACATGGTGCGAATGCTACACCAAACAAAAGTGTAATGTTAAAAATCTGTAACTGAGATTGCGCAGACGACTTTGTTAGCACGGTTTTCTTTGTAGCAGTAGCTATGTGAGAACGAGAGTACTCCATCGAACCTGCATGGCCGAACTCCCTTTTCTAAAAGCTTCATTTAGCTTCTGCGGCGAAATGGAAGACGTGTGAGATGAACAGCTTTTCTCTCGACAAAAAAGGAAGACGAAGTACTTGAACGGAGTTCCATGGTGGCAGTCTGACAGAGGCCTCGGTAACACGGTTATCGTAACAAGTGTTCCCCTTCAGATCGGTCACCGATAACTTCCGCGTAATATCTTTGCGGAAAGAGTGATGCAAACATACTTACGCTCGGACGATGTGTGGGTACTTTGTCCGAAACCAGGTTGCCAGCATACCCGCGTGATGGCCGCCAAAGGCGGCCACCCTGCTGGTTCGAGCTCCCTTGATGTTTCTCTTTAGCCAGATGACAAGATCGATGTAATCGGCAAGGGCCTGTTCCGTGGTCAAATATGCGGTCATCTCGGGGGTCTGCAAGAAGTGCGCATTAGTAGGTTTGACTGAATTTATTTCAGTTCACTTTTATTTTCTAGAAAGTACCTAGTAGTTGTATTGATTACAGTGCTAACTGCTGCGAGTAAATAACTACACGGGGTGCGAAATACTGCCGCATGCTCACAAGGGACATGTAGGTTGGTTTCAGAAAAAAAATGGTCAAAGTGTAAGTAGCACAGACTGGTCATTCCATATGCCCTCAGTTTGATAACTGAAATGACAGTGCACTCACAATATTGCGCCAAACAAGCGAGGAACTATCAAAGCTCAATTCGGCGATACTAAAATTGACTAGCGTTTGATAAACTAAGTACGTTATATGCCACAACAACAATAAAGAACAGCATTAAATAAATTTACACGAGTCACAAGAGTACAATAATAATAATACTGGCAACAGATTGTAAACAACTTGTGTGTAAGTAATCATCAATGCACGAGGAAGAAAATGCTTTTTTTTAACTATATATAAATTTTCACCTGAATATATCACATAAAAGCTATATTGAAGCCCGTAGCAATAGAGGGGGATAAAAAACGTCATGCAAAAAAGACGCGCCTAATAACGGCTCACTCAGAAACGCCACAACTCTTGCGTTAGCTTTGTCCAATCCACTAGGTGAACTGACAAAACTGATTGCAATCTTGTTATTTTTTGCAGCGAGAAATAATAGGAGTAGGGTTGGCCAGCTCACCTTGAATGAGTCTTTTCCAAAAGGCAGAGATTTGCCGTAGTAGCGGTGCTCAGGAAACACCAGCAGTGCCTTAAAGTCTCGCCCCCACTCCCACATGATTCCCTGGAAGAAGGTAAGATGATCTCTCTATACATGTCTTGTTAATATAAGCGCTCCCCTTGAGAAACACTTTAACTAGAGAACAATTTTTATTTTTCTATTCAAAAATTATGTGCAATGAAAATAATACTATCTAAAAAAATTGCCCGCAGCTTCCCTCGGGGGAACACTGAGGAGGATGCGGAGCATATAATTGGTTAACGGGGTGTTAAAGTGCGACTTACTTGGGTCGATGGCTAAATTGGTTAACGTGGTTGTGAAATGGGGTGTCAAATTGCGACTTACTTGGGTCGATGGCTAAAGTGGTTAACGTGGTTGTAGGAGGGGGTGTTAAATGAGTGAACACGTACACACGCATGCGAAAGGGCGGCGCTGGTTGAACGGACGTCGATCATTGTGTTTGTGGATTCGTTGGAATTCATTTCACCGCGACCTTGGACGTCGACGCGCCGTACAAACCAACCGACGAGGGGCAACTGAGCGAGCGAGCGCCGACCTTGAGTATATATACAGCGCGATGGCGCATGCACTGTCAGCTGTCGAATGTTCGAGAAGGGGGAGAAGCGCAACGGCGCATGCGCGCGCGTCAGCTGCCGATGTTCTCGAAGCGTGACGGCGCATGCGCGCTACATTATACAGCTAGCGAATGTTCGTGAAGAGGAGAAGCGCACGCGGTGTGTAGAGGAGGAAGGGTGCACAGATGGTGGAGGAGTGAAGCGCGTGCGGTGTGTAGAGGAGGAAGGGATGCACAGATGGTGGAAGAAGGAGGAGGAAGCTTGCGGACGGCGCCTCACTACAAGCCTCGAGTATTAGATGCTCCGCATCTAAAAGAACTGCTCCACAGATTTAAATAAGGGTGCTGTATTACAAAGGTCGAAGGCTACTGAGTGTTGGAAAACATAATTTTTATGTTTCTAATTCATCTACTCTAATTCATCTACTCTAATCCATCTACTCTAATTCATCCACTCTACTCTAATTATCTCTAATTCAAACTACTCTAATTCATCCACTAAAACTCAAATGTATGCTTCGAACGACAAACGAAGCACGAAAAGTAGAGAAATGCATAACCTTCTACCGAAAAAAATTCGATGTTCTCCCAAATGAATATGTGATGAGATTAACTAAAGTGGTCACGCATTCTGCTAGCGATTGAGTCTGATCTTTCATAACCACGTGGCTCGCTGCTAAGCATGAGGTCGTGGGTTCAATTTCTTCCCAGTGTAGCTGCATATCGATGGGAACAAAATGCAGTAATACCAATGTACTAGATTCAGGTGTCACCCAATCTTGTGAAAATTAGTCTTACCCCCGTATTACAGAACGTCCCTTCACTCAACGCTTCACCTTCACTTGGGAAAGCCGATGGGAGCGCCGTCTCTAGGCATGGCAAGTCACTGCATATCAGCGATAATGTGCCGCAATTCTTGTGTAGCGCAACGTCATTTTGAGCCGAGCTGTGGCGCAGTGCTCAACTCTGTCAAGTGAAGGGTGAAAGTCGAGTCGAGGAGCGTTTGTGAATACGGGGGTTAGTCTCCTTTCTACGGTGCGCGTCTAATCGCATACTGGTTCTGACACGTAAAACCACACAAAATATTTTAAGGCGAATATCTCGTATGCCTCATCAAATTCGAAAATTCCCCATTGGTGCCCCTCGGCGGTGTCGGCGTCAGCACGTCATGCAAGAAATAATCGTCACGAGAGGTTGACGTCATAATGAAGTCACAGATCGCAAAATCTACGACGTCCTTGTTACGTCACTGTGACGTCGCACGATGACGTCATCGCATGATATTGTTGCTTGGTCGGAGAAGGACCGACCATGGATGCAGTGCAACACCAGGCAATGCGTCCGATTCTGGAGGTCATGTGAAACCACGTTAGTGCACAAAACTTTCGGAATAAGGGAAAAAAGAATGAAAATGCCTTTCGTATTCTAGTCGTCTAAGTAGAATGCATAAGGTACTCTACAATTTTTATTATTTTGTTGACGGTGTATAAAACTTTAACGAAGAAAATCGGCATACAGCAGACATCTACTCGCTAGGCGTTACGCGAAAGTAAATCTCTCTTACGGTGTTCGTAATGTGGTCTTCAATAGAACCTTCGTTCGCGGTATAGATGAATATGGGTCCGCCCTTCCGATTCCAGTACTGGTCGGCCATCGCATACCTCAAAGGAAACGTTGCGTTCTTGCCGTACGTGAAGTGGTCGATCTTGTGTTGAGGAAGAAACAGAACAGAACCATAAATCACTTTAATGCCCCAGAAATGTTCTCTTTGTTCCTATGATACCTGCTCTGTATGCCTACAATATTTGAAATTAATGTGAATCCGAGCCCTGTCAGTGAATCTGCATAGAATAGTTTTCACTCCCTGCTGAAGTCCTGCAAAGTTCCAGCGTTGCCCTGTTCGAAAGGTCTTCAAGACTTTGCAAATGTTTCACAATGCCCGCCGCAGTTTCTAAGCCATATTCGAATATATTTAGTGGCTTTACTATACTTCTAATTAAATTCTTTAAGGTCTATTTCTATAGTTGATGTATTTTCTAGCAAGTTACATAGGAGGCATACCGACAGCTGCGACGTGATAGGACAGGGCATTAGCCAAAAAACGTCGCCATACATGAGCTCTTTCTCATCAGCAGCCAATTCGCTCTGCGACGCACAGACTATTATTTTATACCTGTATACCGACCAAGTCGAAGTCCGACGTTTCCTGTCGCCATGGATCTTTGGTGTATGAATATTATCGTTTGATCCCTGAAGGGCTTTTCGCCATGCTTGTAAACTACACACTAATTAGCGTGGCACGTGGGTCGTTCAGCGGCGCTTGTGCCGACAAAAAAAATCTGTTTCACCGTAAGTTAATACGGGGAAACGCCATAATAATACTCATAAGCAAATAATGCGGCAGCAACAAAATGTAATGTTGCACGGAGTAATGCTATAGAAGCTGACACTTTAGGATCTATAGCTGCTATAGTAATTCAACAAAATGCTGTTTTAAGCAAATATGGCCGCTCCGGGGACCGAAGTGACTTTCTTGCTCAGTCCCCTAGACAGTAAGTAAGCGTTCCGAGTCCAGCAAGCTTATTCAACGTATCCCGATGTCTGTCTATAGATAGCGCTCGTGACCGCGCCTTTATGAGCCAAGTTCGCATTTGCTGCTGGAGCGACGAAGCGGAGAGCGAAAGAGCCTTGCCGAAACGTTCTTTCGTCCTCGCTCTGCTCTTGCGTGCAGCAGGTATCCCGGCACGTGCGGTGCGGATAGCGCGTGTAGGGCCTTCCACGCGCTACCCGCACAGCCGCAACGCACGTGCCAGGGCCCCTGCCGCACCTAAGTGTGTGTGTGTGGATGGGGGGGAGCACATTGGCGACGCTGTTTCACTCTCCGCTGGGGTGTCTCCGCTTGATGGCACTTGTGGTTGTACGGATAGCGCGTGTAGGACCTTTGCACGCACTACCCGCACAGCCGCAACGCACGTGTCAGGGCCCCTGCCGCACCTAAGTGTGTGTGTGGGGGGGGGGGGGATCACATTGGCGACGCTGTTTAACTCTCCGCTTGGGTGCGCCAGGGGTCCGGGCACGTGCGTTGTGGCTGTGCGGGTAGCGCGTGAAAAGCTCGTACAGGACCTCAAGAGATTCTCCTTGAAAAGTATTACTGGCACTTCTATGCATTATGAGGAAAGTCCAATACGAACCAGAGCGTCGAAGGTGTGGTACGTGTGTGAGAGGTTCAGAGCTGCTTGACTTGAGGCGTGCACAAACATGGCTATCAAGGCTAGCCTTGCTACTGGACGAAGCACAGTAAGGGCTGCCATACTGAGTTTCTGTAAAAAAAAAGCGATGGTTAAAAGGTACGTTGGCCCCATTAGTATTACCGGGAAAACGTCGGACCACCGTGACAAACGGAACAGATAAAGATGGTCAGAAGGGCCCTGCAACACAGAACACATATCATTTATAGCCTAGTGAGACCAACTTGCCAAAGTGTCGGATCGAAAGCAGCCTTTTTCCAGTTGCAATCGTTCGGCCGTCTCAGTCGAGTCTATTGAATCAAACGCCTGCTCGGCCACTTTTTGCTTTATCGAATGGCTTATAGTGCATGGTCTGCCTACTTAGCGTTAATTTGCGTTTACATTTTTTCGGGTCTTTCACATGGCTACATACTCGTTGTGTATTTTCACATTGTGAGCATTCGGGGACATCGGTACGTGGCATCACCTCTCCGCAGCAGCATCGGCATCCTGCCATAACTCAAGGAAAAATAGGCGAAAAGAAATATGTGATGAAAAAGAAACGGTTACCAAAAATTGCCCGCAGCTTCCCTCGGGGGAACACTGAGGAGGATGCGGACCATATAATTGGTTAACGGGGTGTTAAAGTGCGACTTACTTGGGTCGATGGCTAAATTGGTTAACGTGGTTGTGAAATGGGGTGTTAAATTGCGACTTACTTGGGTCGATGGCTAAATTGGTTAACGTGGTTGTAGGAGGGGTTGTTAAATGAGTGAACACGTACACACGTATGCGAAAGGGCGGCGCTGGTCGAAGGGACGTCGATCATTGTGTTTGTGGATTCGTTGGAATTCATTTCACCGCGACCTTGGACGTCGACGCGCCGTACAAACCAACCGACGAGCGGCAACTGAGCGAGCGAGCGCCGACCTTGAGTATATATACAGCACGACGGCGCATGCACTGTCAGCTGTTGAATGTTCTCGAAGCGCGACGCCACATGCGCGTCCACTGGAGAATCAGGAGAATTGTAGACGTCGAACGCGGTGTGTAGAGGAGGAAGGGTGCACAGATGGTGGAGGAGTGAAGCGCGCGCGGTGTGTAGAGAAGGAAGGGATGCGCAGATGGTGGAAGAGTGGGCGACGGCGCGACGGCGCATGCGCGCGCGTCAGCTGTCGAATGTTCGAGAAGCGGTGTGGACGGCGCGGACGACGCGGACGGCGCACTACAAGGCGCGAGTATAAGATGCTCCGCATCTAAAAAGGACTCCGGCATACATGCAGCAGAGACCCACAAAAACATATCGGTAAAATTGCACTCTTGCACTACAAAGGTTTGGCGTCCCAAGGCTATTAAACACCGCCCTTTAGAAACGCAGGTGGTTCCATTAAACACTCTGGCAAGCCATGTGGTGCGTAGTGAGACAGCGTAAATTTACTAGAGCGTTGCAATAAGTAATCCGTTGTATATAACAGGCAGTCCTTTTTGGTATTTCGTCAGATATCAATTCTTTTCGACTTTTTTCTATTTATCTACGGTAGGCCACCGCTGACGCTAGTTGGCGCGACACGTACATGTCCCCTATAGTGCTCCCAAATTCTGCTCATGAGGGGCAGGGAGCTAGCAAAAGAAATACTTATTTGCATTTAAGATAGCTTTCGGCCGTTTTTCTTCAATTCTGTCATGTCGCGTGACCTCCCTTGAGTGTGGTGAAAACACTCGTGCCGAAAACTACGTGTTAATGCGTTACCCAGTCACTCGAGGCAAGCAGACGCGTCACGAAGAAGGACGTGGACGCAAACATACTGTGCACACCGGTGGTGGCTTGCTCACGAAATTTCGGCTGTCGAAGCTTCCAGGAAGATGGTGATACTCTTCAGGTCAAACGCGCTGGGCTTCGACATCTTGCAAGCGCCATTATCGGCCTTGAGGCCGGCGCGCCCGATTCTGCGCCACCGATCCGCTAGCTCTGTGCGATGGCTCCACTGCTTTTCGATCGTGATGACGATGGCTAGTTGATTTGCCTTTATATGTTGCTCATACCCACTGTGTATTCACCAGATATTATTGCCACATGAGAGGGCGGTAACCTCCCACTCAGCTTCTAATTTATCTTTACATTGTCGAGAGTATATGTGCACGCCGAAATTCTATGCAAGCGTATAGTTTTGCACTGATGAATGCAGAAACGCGTGTAATTATTTAAGCGTAGCATATCGATAACAGCTGTGTCACATGCGTTGGCCAACGTTCGATTAACTTGCACGAGGAAGAAACGAAACACCTGAAACTTATCTTTCACGTAGACCCCCTCATGTGCCGGATTTATAGGTTCCCCTATATTGTGCGGCATGTGCAGATAAGTTTTCCCGCCTTCTTTCCTTTGCGCCTTTTTCGTTCGTCTTCATTTGTTAGTCGGAACTTGTGGTGACCTGAACTCTTTCTTGTGTTCGTATCTTAAGGCCCAACAGTACGGACGTGATTTTCGAGTGACAGCGACAGGATTTGCTGTCGCGGAGGCCCATCGGTAGTCACCGATTGTCACGTTGTGCTTTTTTCGGAAAACTAGAAAAAAATCGCTATTCACGTGGAAGCCAACGTGACGATTTCCGGCATGGCTGCACCCCTGATTCTCGCTTTGGTTGCGATTTGCTTTCACTGCTTGTTATCCGTGCGTATTTCAAGGAACGCAAGGTACTCGACCGCCTTTACAATCGCATCTCACGCAGAGAGACTGCCCTATTTTGTCGCAAATCTCGTTATCGATGGTTTGTTTAGATGTTTTGGTGGTAGCTGGTGACAAAGATTGGGGGTCCCTTAAGTTATTGTGAATTCCATAGAGAGAACAGGAGTAGAGGGGCAGGGCAGAGCACTGAGAGCAGGGCCACTCAACCTGCCACTGGAATGCGCCGCGCTCCCAGAGGGCAGGTGAGACGGTGACGAGTAGGGAGACCATGTGACTGAAACATTCCAAGCCCCGGCATATTCTCTCTGGGGCAGCAGCGAAATACGCGTGAAATCGGTCGGCCACATATTCTTCATTATCCTGATACCTAGTATGCTCGTGCAACGACTCGTTCGGCAAACGCCCAGCTTTCATTGTAACCATCCGTACGAAAGAGCGCTGTCAAACTACACATGGTTGCTACCATTGCCACCGTGCTCGCCAGTTGGGAAAAAATTCGGAGGCTGTGACGTTCAAGGACCACGTGACTCGAGATACTCCGCTTTTCAGGCGAGAGCACTGCAAACTGCTTGTGGCTGCTCTCGGCGCAGCAAAAGAATGAAAAAATGAAAAATACAACCTAATGCCAGTAATAAAAATGTATGATTTTCTTCTGTCCAAGAAATATAAGCAAGACATAAAAAACTCTAACCCGTTTCTAAAGCAGTTGGCAGATTTAATACTCAACCAGCCTAAGTATAATACCCGGAAAAATGAAGTGTGGACTGTTCGAACCTTTAGAACCACATACGGTCTTCAATCGTTGGGAAATAAACTTCCAAGGTTACTAAATGAACTTAGGGATAACGAAATTGACTTAGAAAAAATCACCTTTAAACAACTGCGGAATCATTTCCTCCAGACGTCATGATCACTCGTTTCTGTTACTTGTAATTTTCTAAAGAATGTACTCTTGTATTTTGTTTTTGTTGACGTGTATTTTGTATACTGCTTTGTGTTTTTTTTCTCGATATGTTTCTTGGTGTCTTGTTTGTTTTTTTCTGTTTTAGGAAATGAGTATGCATTTGTGGTGTTGCCAAAGCAATAAATTAGGCATATTCTTTTATGATGCTTTTTTCTGTGTTTTGCAAGGCAAATGCGCCTGTATTTCACATTGCGAAATTATTTCTTTATAGCATTATATGTACCAATATGTTACACCTGTACAGTGTTGATTGCTCATTTTTGTCGTATACATGTTTGTATGCTTCGCTCGGATGTATTACGCAAATGCTTCCTTTTTTTAAGGCAAATACGCCAACATTTTTTGCATCTTTTGAAATAGATTTTTTGTTGTTGTTGTTTAAGCATTAGACGTTTCGTTTTATCACACATGTACAGTGATGATTTCTTTCTTGTCATAGACCTGTTTATTTTACGCGTATGATCCCGAATGTTTTTATGAAAGTGTTACCGCTGCTGCGATGTGTTCGGGGAGGGGGAAGGGGGGCCTGCGGCCTTGTCAAGCTGGCATCACGCCAGCTTTTTCTGCAGGTCTCCTGCATCATGTATCCTTGATGCGAAATAAAGTCATTATTATTATAAAAGCACTACCAATGGATAACAGTGCTCCTGCACCTGTCGACCACTGAAACACGCCGCTCAGCACTTTTAAGCGTGCTTTTAATTGCTCCTTCTCTCCCAATGGAATTCGCCATTAGAGTGGAACGCGATAGTTATATCCTGTCCCTAATGTACTTTGTTCAAAATGGCTTGTGTCGGTGAAGCTTTCGCATACAGCTGCATTCTGTGTAATGGGCAGCACGCTTTAAACCATGGTTGATTGTGCACGTGACATAGTTATTTTACTACTCTAGAGAAAAAAAATTCCTCGCCAAATGAAAACCACTGTCAAATATACACATGTAGATGCAGCGCACACGTGAAATGGCCGAAGAGGTTTTTATTAGATCCAGCAACAAGTGCATAAGTCATTCGTCAATCACTAGTCTAGATGGAGAATACGTCTGTTAGACAAGACATTGATTATGTGTTGTAACACGTGTGCACAATTTTGATGAATCATCGATTTTTATTCGTTCTTTTTCAAAAATAAATTCAGTTGTGAGCTCAGCGCTGAATCGTTTTCTTCTGCCCATATCTAACCCATTCCGCTGTCAATTATTCTGCGACGAACATCCACTAACTAGCCCAACTCGCGATTCTACGCTTTATTTTTCTAAACCAAATCAGTGTTTTTTTTTTCGATTTGGTGTCCTTTAGGGAGCTGAGCAAAGTATTAGCCCAGCCCATCCCGAGATAACCACCTCAAACCCGGACCCGACCCTAAACCCACAGGTTCACTTTCGAGCTTCGCCCAGGACTTTAGCCAGCCCGGGCCAATGTTTTCTGGGTAGGCCCGAGACCGTGCAGTGCTCTAGTACAGACGTCCCCAGCGTCCGCAAAATTCCAGTCCTGGCTGCGACCACGTAGCACATCTTGCTTCGGGGTGTAGTCGCATTTTAGGACGAATGAAACAAGAAATCCTCAGTGACGGCTACAATTCGTTTATTGGCCTCTGAACGAGCAGTAAAATTTTGTTTAGTCGGGTCGTATGACACGTAACCGTTGACACGTTTGCGTAACTAATACAGATAGAATATTGCCGGGGTCTTGACTAGGGAAGCCGCTGTATCCAATTTGAGATGACCCGCTTAGCGAAACTCCTGGCTTTCCGGAAGGGCCAGGGGTCGTCGCGGTGCGCGAACTGCAGGTCCACGTGGTGAGCGGCACCCTCGATGACGTGGTACCTGGTCCGAAACGTGGGAGCATGGCCCAAGCCGAGCGCTGCCCACGGATCCTTGTCCCCGTCACTGGACAAAACATTTGACAGAGATTTATCTGGATGGGTAAAAATTATGCGAATACAACAAACTCTGCAGCCACTTTTAGCCTATGTCTTTAATATTAAAATTAAAAACGGTCCCTGAGTTCTGGAACCCATTTGGTCTCTTCTTCTTGGGGTGACTGCGCGGCCGGCTCCGAGGCTATAGCGACTTTTCTGTGTAGTGTCCCCTCTCCACCATCGTTCTTCCCACTTACCTAAAGACTGTCTAAAAGAAGCTTGACAGGACACCCTTTCCAGCTTTCGCTGCGACCGTGCTGCGCGTTCCGCGTAAACCTATTTCTCGCCTGATCACAGAAACCCAGACGCTCTTCCTGCCTTCATCTTTCGCGAAGCAGAACGTTTTGACTTTACATAGCAAACTAGCTCCGTGTCGCAGACTGCATCTTGGCACTATAGTTCAGCGCCCGAGTGCATCGGATAATTTCCATCTGTAGAAGAAGTCGACACACAAGCAGCCGTGGCCGGCAGCGCAGGCTAAAGCTACGTTGAAACAAAATAAACAGAAAGTTTTCAAGGGCGTATTTCCGGTGAACGCGCAATGTTCTCACAGAACAGCTAGCGTTAGCGAAACCGTCTGTAAATAAAACAAAAGCAGGGACATTTGAACAAATCAGAAACTTACATACAGTGCTCAATGTTCCTTTAGAAGCTTTTTTGGGGGGAAGGTATAGGTCCATTCAGGCAATCTACAAGCCGCGGAACTTGCGACGAAGGAAAATGTTTTAGCTTTTGTTAGCCACCACATAATCTTGAGTTCGATATCGTGACTAGTACTCTGTACCCGTCTTTATCTGTTGTCTTTCGTGTGATTCTATGCGCTGCTTTTTCGAGTTATGCGCTACCCATCAGTCTGCTCTTATAAAAGTGCACTCTATCGCAGCCCGATTGCGTGCCTTTCGCCTGAGTTGCGAGTCACAATGCGTTGTCATCGGTGCTTTCTGCAAACACGTTCTTACGACTCTACTCTACGTGAGCTCGCCTTCATTAATTGCGACAGAAACTAAATACCACCGTCATATCTAGCGTGCGCATCATGGTCTTGTAACGCTATCTAGCTAGAGCAATGGCGGCAGTGGTGGTGCCCATGGCAGAACCCAGGAATTTTTTGTGGCGGTTGTTTGCGTGTAGAACGACTAACTTCGGCTACTGGTGATCGATGTCAAGGTGTGTATCTGCTTTAACATCACCCGGAAGGTTAAATCATGAAAAATTTGGGAGCTGTGTTGAAATGTCACGGATGAACACACTGGTCAATTACATGTTTGTAACAGCAGTATTTTTCTCACGTGGGCAGATTACAAATTTTTTCGTTGTGATAGGAAACATAGAAGGGGAGGTGGCGTACTTCTGGCGATAAAAAATGATGTGCTTGCAGTACCTGTTCCAGTTACCTCGTTGTTGGAATGTGTATGGGTATCCCTGAAGTGTGGCGGCCGCGTCATACTTATTGGTGTTTTTTACCGCCCCCCAGATGCAAATACTGACTTTTCTAATGAATTTACCCGTGTCTTGACGCTACTGTGTTCTCGTTTTCCTAATTCTCTCTTAATAATTTTTGGCGATTTTAATTTTCCGAGCATTTGCTGGTCAACTCTATCCGTTAGGGATGGTCAAAGTGAAGCTCATAATTTCGTCCAGTCTTCTCTCGACTTTTCCCTGGCTCAGCTAATTACTCATCCCACGCGGTGTTCCGCCACATCAGCTAATATTCTAGACCTAGTATTTACCAACAACCCTGATATTTTTTTCTGAAATTACTCATCTTGACGGGCTTTCTGATCACGTCGTCCTTACTGGAAGCGTCCGGATTTCCCCTAATAAGCGCAAAACTACCAATAAGCAAATAAGGTGCTATAATAGAGCTGATTACGATAGCATTAATAATGAACTCCTGTCATTCTCAAATAACTTTTTAGGAGGGTATTTATCCCGATCCGTTGAAGATAATTGGCTTATGTTTAAAAATGCACTTACCAACTTAATCAGCAGGTTCATTCCCCTTATCACCATCAAAACTGTAAACACCGCTCCATGGTATAACCAACAGCTTCGACGCCTCAATAACAAAAAGAAAAGACTTTACCGCCACGCCAATAAAATAGACCCCCTTTCAGTTTCCTGGTTACGCTACAAAACATGTGATAAGGAATATCAGTCACTGCTCACATCAACTCGACGTCATTTCTTCAAACATGACTTAACATCTATGCTATTAAATAACCCTCAGAAATTTTGGCGTGTCATCAATCCTGTTGATCATCCTGATATAGTCCTTACCACCAGTAATAACAGCGTCATTCCCACGTCTCAGTGCGCACAAGTTTTAAACGACGCATTCATTTCGGTATTCACGTGTGAAGACATCCCGTCATGCCCGAAAGTTAACCTCATTCCTGATATCAGCATGCCAGAAATAATAGTCAGTGAAGCGGGTATATTCTCCTTACTAAATAACCTCAAAATTTCTACTGCTTCTGATCATGTCGGATTTAATAATAAGATACTAAAGAATATATCAGCTAGCATTTGTCCCATACTGTCCGCCCTTTTTTCACAATCGTTATCGTTAGGCTGCATCCCACATGACTGGCGAATCGCTAAAGTAATTCCCATCTTCAAGTCTGGTGAACGCTCATCGTCATTAAACTATCGTCCCATCTCATTAACCAGTACCATTTGTAAACTTCTTGAACATATAATCCACACCCAAGTAATTAACTACCTGGAAGATCATAACATACTACATAAATATCAGCATGGCTTTCGCCGAGGATACTCATGTGACACGCAACTCGCCGGCTTCATTCATGACATACATTCAGCTCTCGACGGTGGATCCCAGGTTGATGCTATTTTCCTCGACTTTTCTAAAGCTTTTGACCGTGTCCCTCATCACCGGATTCTAACCAAACTGTCTAGGCTTAACATTCACCCTAACATTTTGGCATGGGTAAAAGATTTCCTTTCTTCTAGAACACAGTTCACGTCCGCTAACAATTGTAACTCTTCCTTCAGACCAGTAACTTCTGGAGTCCCACAGGGTAGCGTACTTGGTCCACTACTGTTTCTAATCTACATTAATGACTTGCCATCCTGTGTCTCATCCCGAATTAGAATTTTTGCTGACGACTGTGTGATTTACCGAATAATTTCCTCTGACAATGACCGGAAAGCTTTGCAAACTGATCTAAATGCTATTAATGCATGGTGCTCATCTTGGCTAATGACCCTAAACTGCTCTAAAACGAAGTCTACGTCTTTCAGTAAACACGTAACCCGGATTCCTACCTCCTACGTGTTGAATAATACTACTGTTGACCTCGTCTCCACTTATAAATATCTTGGGATTCATTTGCAACCTGATCTGACATGGCACTACCATATAAAACTCACCCTGGCGGCTGCTAACCGGTCTTTCGGATTTCTCAAGCGTAACCTTAAACAGGCTCCTCCTAACATACGCAAACTTGCATTTACTACACTAATACGTCCAAAATTAGAATATGCATCAGCCATTTGGGATCCCGAACATGCTTACATCATAAACGACATTGAATCACTGCAAAATCGTGCCACTCGCTTCATATTTTCAGATTATTCACGTCATTCCAGCGTCACAGCACTAAAACGCCGAGCAGAGCTACCCGAACTATTCCATCGTCGCAAACTTGCACGCCTATCACTTTTCCATAAACTTTATCACCACGTGTCACTTCACAGCGATTTTTTCGAGCCACCTGCCGTTATTTTTCCTCGCCGCGATCACCCCTACAAAGTTAAACGCTTAAACTGTAAGTCATCTGCTTTTTCCAAGTCATTCATTCCGCGTACCACAATCGATTGGAATAATCTACCATCACACATTGCCTTAGAAAAAAACGCCACGAAATTTCAAGAACTAATTCAAAATACTGACATCATCTAACTTTTGTTCTTTTACTTGTTTTTCCCTCTTTTCTATAACGTGCAGAGCACACGTGTAGTATTTTTACCTTGATTCAGCTTATTTGAGGTGTGATGAGTGAGTGTATATTTTTTATTCGTTTTTGAGTGTACGCTTTTTTTTTCGAGTGTATTGATTATTTTTTCTTGCATTTTTATAGGTTGTTCACTGTGTACTTATCTGTATTCCAATGATTTGTTGCCTATTCTTTTCTCTATTTTCGCTGTCTTTACCAATTACTTGTTATAACATATATCTCAACCTTAGTCTGTATTTAATTTGAATTTTTTGACCTTTTTTTTCCGTTTTTGACGTTTATTGTTTGTAATTTTGCTCATGTAACCCCCCCTATGCAATACCCTCTCACGAGGGCCTTTAGGGGTATTATGAATAAATAAATAAATAAATAAATAAATAAAATGGCCCCGATACTAGCCTTTCGCAAGAGGGCCATGCAGTGTTTGCAATCGGTTTGTATTTATTTCATGCCAATAAACAGACAACAATCAATCAATCGTATAACCAATTAACTCCCAACCACTCCCTCCCCCTCCCCTTAGTTACGGCTCTGGTGGTGCCCTTGTGGTTTCTGATTACAACGCATGGGTCCCATGGGAAGCTTTTTTTTTTTCTAGAGTCTGTATTAACTCTGAGATCAAAACTGGTCGAAGCCACGTGGCAGAGCCTTCGAGTTAACCCTGTTAACCCCCACGCACGTGTACTGACACGGTATGCAACGTACGTGAAGAAAATCTGGGACGCCGCCTGGAAGTCCGGGATCGGGTACTTCTTGAGCATGCTGTCGAATTCCGGCGTGACGCCAAACCTTTCGCGGCACCGTTCGGCGAATTTTTCGGCGTCCCACTCTTGGGGATAGAACATGTCGTTGACGCCGTCGGTGCACGTCGGGTGGATGAGCTCGGTGCACCTCTGCGTGGATTATTCAAGTGGATCAGATTCTGTACTAGCTAAAACGGATGCTGGGGCAAGCTACTTTGTAATTGAGAAATATTGAGCAGCGTAAGAAAGGTGGGACACATGGTAATGCGCGCAGAGACGGCGACGTACTAACGACTAGTTCATTGCTCGAACGAACGATCCACACGCTCGAACATTACTGAAACACACGACACACAAGTGTCGACATCCGGCGTTCCTCCGCCGGCGGCGCGCTGCGTGCGTTAGTCCTGAAGTCCCTGAAAATCGGTTCTTGCGCTAGAGTTTTCAGGCCATAAAAATGTTACGAAGCTAAAGCAACGCTGCACCACGACGAAGCACACTGGGACACTGTATGCCACAACATTCCGCGCATCGTGGTGTCATCCAGAGCATCACCATTGCTCCTGCGAAAAAAAGTTCTGATGTATGCCTATCAGTGCATGATGCCAACCTAAGACAACGTTTAATCTCTACATTGATGCCGATAAATTTTTTGGATAACGAGAAAATAATGACCACCAAAACACTCCGTACAAATTGTGAACCCCGCAACGAAAGCTAGAACGCGTGGCCCCAGTATTTAGCAGTGGGTGCAGCCTGACGTGGTACTGAAGCATTTCGAAATTGGTGATATGTTCGTCCTTCCTCATGAGGTTATACGGACGTTTGGCTTGGGTTTACCACCGTGCTTATTTCACATACCACACATTATGCCTCGCATGATGACGGTGATGGAGGATTGTAATGAGCGGTTGAATGAATTTCTCAGTACGTTAATCCGTTAATAACGCCCCGCTGCGGTGGCTAAGGTACTCGGCTGCTGACCCGCAGGTCGCGGGATCGAATTCCGGCTGCGACGGCTACATTTCGGATGGAGGCGGAAATGTTGTAGGCCCGTGTGCTCAGATTTGGGTGTACCTTAAAAAACCCCAGGTGGTCGAAATTTCCGTAGCCCTTCACTACGGCGTCTCTCTTAATCATATGGTGGTTTTAGGACGTTAAACCCCACATATCAATCAATCAATCAATCAATAATCCAATTACAGTGGTTCTTCTCGAACCACAGGTGGTCACAAACGTCGCAGCCGAAACCAAAGTACGATTGGAGAAACTCCCACCGAAAACGGGCGTTTGTCCCGGCGAACGCGCTTCCGAATGCACGTTGACGATGCAGCGCCACATGTTCGGCGTAGGAACTGCGCTGTTTCGCCTATAGGCAGAAAGATATTAGGTGCCTTTTAGGGGCGAAGCTTCTTAGGGTGTGGGTCGTTCCCTCCTCTGTAATTGTATGTTGTAGTAACCACTTCTAGTACTTTTAAGAATTGCTCACTAGATGGCGTAGTGTGTATATTTTCTTAGAATTAATATCACTAGATGGCGTTGGATGTTTTCGCATAGTTAACGATTAAACAGGATAGGTGACGCTGTTATAGTAAGAAATTCACAACATATCCACGGAGTAAATGATGATGACAGCTTCTGATGACAGCCTCTGCAAATAACAAGAACGACTTCTTTAATCTCTCTTGGTGGGTTTTTTTGTTCAATTCACAACGACAGTAGCCTGTTCGCGTGACGTCACGATGAAAGAAGCTCTCGATTGCTCGATATATGAGATATATTCGTTTTCTCTTGTCTCCTACCCTATTTTTCCGTGCAGTAGGACGACCATTCTGACTTGTCTCGCATCTGTATCGCGCGTGAAAAACTGTCTTCACTTCATTTCCTGCGTTTGCGACTGCGCAAGCAGAGATAACAGCCCGTGGGCGGAAAGCGCCGAATTCAGGCGGGATCAACGTATACTGGTGTCAGTCCACATGTTTTATGAAGAAATAAGTGGCAAGGAAGAGATAGCACTTGTAGTAAGGTTAGTGAAGGCCACACAGAAAAAAAAATATTCTCTCGCCTTTGAACTCAGCGCGGACCCTTTAAAGAGTAGTTGCTGGGCGCAACAAGTTCTAGATATCGCGTTGGCGCATGTGCTGACCCACAGGTGGGTCGTATGACGTCTACGGCAGGTGATTTTAGACGCAATGCGTAGTCCCGCGCGAGCTTCGGGCAGTATGACGGACTGATGGCTTCAGGCTGAATCTGGCTCGGAAATTCCGGTATAGTTGTCGGGCCCCTTGACGTACGGCGTCAGCAACGTAAGTAAGCCTGGTTCTCCGACAGAGGTAACATTCTGTAACAGTGGTAACCACTCCTCCCGCACAATTGTTTGTTGGTTTCGAGAAAGCGATTGGTGCTTAGCGAGTGCGCTCTGGCATAGCTCGTGGACAGCGAACGGTTATCTTACCTCGTCTGCAACTATAGACCATTTTCAACAGCCTTTCATGCACATTTCTTGTCCTCTTAAGAGCTCTTCATTTACTCCTCGCATGAGGAAACAAACCTTCTTTTCCTCCGACATGCCAGCGTCACCATGGCTGACGAGTCAGATCGTCTCTATTCCGTGGACCTTATTGACGTTTTCGTCACGGAGTGGCCCCCATGTCTCAAGCAAAGAAGCCCTTGTGCATGGCGTTCGTTAGAGAAGCTCGGAAGCTGGTCGGAAGCTAGTTATTAGTTATTAAATCCTTCGGTATCAATAGAGTAGGAAACTTTCTACTCCTCAAGTGGTCTTGCAGTGCGACCCCGATCGGTCACCTGTCGACAATGTCATGCGATGGCATCATTATATGATGCCACGAGACGTGATGTCATAGGGACGACACAATGACGTCAGTAATGGTGACCTTTGACGTCATCAAAAGATTTTTTTTTTTTCGCATCACTTTGGGCTGACACCACCGTTGGTCACTTTTCGCGATTGAACAGGCGTCGAAGACTTTCGCCTCAACAAATCATCAAAGAGTACAAAATTTTCAAAAACATTGTCTCCAAGAAAAAACAATCGTTCACACTGAGTATAGTTTGGTCAAGTAAGCCGGGAGTCATATTTGCCTAAAAACGCTGAAATTTCGGAAAAGTAAGTAGTTCTACGGTACACAGCGATCCATCAATAATTTGTGAATTCATTAGCTGTCTCAGTTGTGATAAGCTCACCTGGAACTTGTAGGCGTGCATGTTTGCGGTAGGGTAAATGTTGTTGCATGAGTTATTGCCCGTGCTGTTGTACAACATCTTCACGACATCGGCGACAGCATGTACCATGCGTTCTTCAGTGTCCATCCCACCTCTTATGATGGCACAGGCCTTCTGCACAGTGCACGGTCGTAAACAAATACAAGAAGAGAGTTAGTAATAGTGCACATTACAACACGGCTGCCTCAACCTTCGAAACGAGCATAAATGGCATATCGGTTGATCTATTCACAATCTGATTGCTTTTGTACGATTCCTTGATAGTCGTGAAACCTGATACGTATTTTTTGTATTTACACTGAACGTTTTGTCAGTCAACATTATTACATTGTATCTGCTCGTATACTGACCACCCATTAAAAGTGCGCCCATTAAAAGAATTAACTTTTACATTTTTTCCGTGATCAAAACAGCAGTGGAACAAACTACCTCAAGAAAGTGTAGCCGTGTCCAAGGAAATACTCAGCGTTGCACTTCAAGGTCACGTTTTTTTTCTAGCCTGATTGGGGTGCACGTTAAAGAACCCCAGGTGGTCAAAATTTTCGGAGCCCTTCACCAAAGCGTCTCTCATAATCATATGGTGGTTTTGGGACGTTAAACTCCACATACAATCAAGACCTATTCAAACGATTCCTTTAAAATCAGCTTCAAAGAACTTGTTCTTTGGAGATGTAGTCCTCACTTTTCACCCAGAACACAAGCATCTCGGGTCGAGCGATCGAGATCAGTTGATTTACTTTAGAGATGCAACGTGACAAGCTAACTGTACAGTCGCTATGGAAAAATATTACCTCAAGTGACCGCTGGATGGAGCCGCTAAATTGCGGCACGTGGTGCGGTTGTTCATGAGCGCGCCGATAGCCCTACCGCCAAGCACATCCCATTTGCCAAAGTTGGGCGGACCGGAGGAAAGCAGTCCAACTTGTTTGCCCATCCGAAAGCCGACATCTTAAAGAAACGCTTGTTCATTGCATATTGGAGGTTGCGGCTATGTACACGATTTGTTTAACCGTATCCTTAACGCGGTTCTCCCGACAAAACTGTTCGATTGCTCACCACCGGCCACCCCTGCTTTGGAAAGTGTAATGCGCTTGGCATTCTCGACATTTGCGGGCTCGGGAGAAACAGCGCCGCGTGTCGCAATCTTGCTGCTCCCGCCTTCGGTCACTTGTGCCTGTATTGTGTACTGCACTCAACTTGTGCCAATCCGGTTCCATTACGACTGTACTCGGCATAACCTATTACGGCTTTTACAGCAACTTTACAGTGAGTCGAGCCGACTCCTCCGTCTGAAAATTTGCCGCTAAGGCTCACGTAAAACCACGTAAGGTGCAGAAAACTTTCACACGAAAAGAATCAGTACATCGACTGGAACTGAAAGGATGGCTTTTACCTTCGACCCTCTTACAGGGAATACATAAGGGACGGGAATTTTGAGCCTCAAAAAAAAAACAAATTCACAAAATGAGAGGACAGGACGGGTGCCCTTCCAATCTTCTAGTTTTGTGAACGTGTGTTCTTTGCACTCGAACTTCCCGTCAACTATGCGCCATCACGCCGAATCTTAAGTTTCGTTAAAGACACGAGAGACGACCGTGCACGTAATGCATATAATTTACCTTTACAGGACGTGCCGGCAGGAGTCCACGGTACATTACGGCGAACGGGTAGTTTATCGTGGCCAGTACCGAGTACGTGTGTCGGATCCAATTGCGAAAATCCGGGTAATTGCTGGGCTCCAGGAGCTGGCACGTGCGAAACGTTTCCTGCAGCGTCTTGCATCCCTCCGCTGCAGTGCCATGCAACCGATCGAATCGTCACTGATCGATCAAAACTGATCGAATCATGAGACCGATCAAATCATGCCTCAGTTGATTGAAATGGAGTGTTGAAAAGACGAAGTTCATGAACCATATTCAGGAATCATTTCGACCCAGTGCCAGAGAGCACGTGTTCTCTTTGAGGGTATATATGCGTGCCGTCGAATGAAGGTGTCTTCATAGGACAATATTCGATCGTTTATTCACAAGGTGCGGCCAATCGCGATGAGAAATGTGGCAAGAAAACGTTCGTATTACAAATATATTCGGGAATTTTCGACTTAATATCTGGTGCTTTACATCCCGAAACCCCACTATGATTATTAGGGACGCCGCAGTGAAGTATATATTCAGGAAATTTCGACCATCTGGAGCTCTTTATGGTGCACTGACATCACGCAGCGTCTGCAGGGGCATATGGTAATTTGTCAATTTAATAATATAGTATAAATATAACTTTATTTAATTTAGAATATAACTCGTATCATTGTTAACAAGAGAAAAATATGAGGTTCTGTAGCCTAACAATGACCTAAAAGTTGCATATGTGGTTATATATGTACTTCATGGAAACACTTCTTGGTACTACTTCTTGGACGCCGGTATATAAATTGAATACAAAGAAGACGAACGTCGATAAACAGAATGGTTTCCTAAAGTTCCCGCCGTGAGACTGGCCTTCGTCAGAATAACAGAAGTGACAGTGGTGCTATGGCATCACGTGAGCACAAACATCATAAAAGCAAGAACAGTCGGAAATGAAAAAAAAAATAATTGGGGGCCCCATATCACATGCCACTTATGAACAATCAGTTCATAAGTTACGACGCGTGAACAAGGATTACAGGCGTCACAGGCAATAATACCAACAGCAGTCACTTTCTGTGCACTTTCATTCGAATCGCCTGTGATCGTATGGAAATTGCAGATCCAAAAAAAAAATGAAATTTCTGGATTTGAGATAGACGACTCCAGAATCGCCACTGTGATGGTGTCAAATGAGTGGCCCGCTACGTTATCATGCTTTGATATTGGAAGATAGGGTAGGTTGCCTTGCGGTTGTTGAATCGGTATAGGAAGGGTGCTTCGGTGGCAGCTACATATTTCATTTTTCAGATTGAGCATTCCAGGAGATAAAATAAATACGTTATGCGTGTCACAGTTATAGCAAACATTTATCTTTAGGCTGAAGTTAGATGTGGTGCCGTTTGCGATAAGTGAAGTGGTAATGCGGCGGCCGACTGCAAGGAAGTTTGTTGCAAGGATGACAGTCAGTAGGTTTATCCCGCGCGCTTTTTTGAAGACGTCAGTAGGTAACGCAGATTTCAGGCTCTTCTGTACGTCACGTGTGGGGGTTCTGAAAATATATATCTCAGTAGTTCGCTTTGTAGAATTATGTTATGGTGCTTTTTTATACGACATTTATGAACTGCGCAGGCGCGGAAAAAGTTAGAAAAAGGTTAGTGTTTAGGAGGAAAAAAAGTGGCTGGCTGTTTATTTTTGGTACTTTGCGGCCTTGGTTGCTTGTCCTTATGATGGCGTCGTAAATAACTCTGCTAGGGCATTTATGTTTTCATAAAGCAATCGGAAGCTGCGCACAATTGCAATTAATATCACTTTGTTTGGGGCTTATATATTCTTTCGAAACGAAAGGCCTGCCTTTAGAATATGGTGCTTTTAGAGTGCTTGTCATGGTTGCTATTGAAACGAAGCTGGTGTTGAGTATCAACTGGCTTTCTGTAAGCTCTAGTGGCAAGTTGGCCGTCACACATTCATTCACGATTTCAACACCGCTCATCCGTCCATTTCATTCTCACACTTACTCAGGACAAGCTATTAACTTTCTGGACGTAAGAGTGACAATAATTAACGATATGTCTATTGACTGCCCAACTCATTTTTGTGCGGCAAGCGACACGAAGTGTGGGCATTCTGTAGCGAAGGCCTTACGTGTTGATCCCAGCTTATCGAGCACGGTCCAGGTACGAGACACGTCCTTGGAGCACCCCAAGGACGACTTCTCGAAAGCTTCTGTGACTCCTCTGTAGTACCGGTCGCATGATCCTAGTCCGGGAAACATTCTGAAGGGGGCACTACTCGCCAGGGCACTGAGAGAGGGCAGTGAAGATGCTCACAAAAGTGCCACTCTCTATTCACTTTCGTCATATTCGTCTTCGTCAGAATGCGCCAGGAGAACGACTTATTAGACATCTCGCTGCAGTTAACACAGGCCAATGTGTTGTAATACCCAGATTTGTATATTATCAAATTATGAACGCTTTGTGGAGCGATTGAGCGTGACATCTGCTACATTTATAGATGAATATTTCCTAATAACCACATTAGCCTACATTAGGGTATCCCACATGGAGGGAAGTCACTTGTTTTCCTTTAGCATTCTGAATCTTCACCGACACCTTTATGCAATGAAATTGAACATTCAACCTTGTCGATAAAATTGTAATGTTTTACATCTATTACCTGTAATATGTTTTCGTGTGCTCAAAGATAACGCTAAATTATATGATTTCGGTCGGATGTTTGTCCTTCGAGAAGTTGCCCTCATAACCAGTCATAAGATCTATTATTTGAACGTTTGTACTGACAAGGACTACTCCTTGTATTTTGGTGACCAACTTGTTCAATACCTTCGTAAACGTTCTAGTGAGCTTGATAATTATTATTTTATTTTCTATCCTAGCAGAACGGCGGTACGTTGTCGTTATGGGTCTCTCTTGAAGAAGGCAACGCTAAATAGCAAACGAAGAGACGGGAACGCGCAGAATGTCGTCAATTGACCCATACCCACTAAGTACGAGACCGAAAGAGACATGAAAGAGGGGAAAAACAATTTCTTTTCATGTTAGTTATTAAGTAATTCCTCATTACAAATTCACCTCGCCTACCGCGTAAAACCGCTTTGTAAGCGACAAAACGCGTTAATTGAAAAGGAGGGCGGCTACGTCACATTTTCATTTCCGCACTAAACGCCGTGACGTCATAGACATTGATGGCATCTCCTAAGTACTTCATAGTCTCTCACCTTTAAAAACGGAGTGCGTTGTCCTCTTAAGGGGCCATAAACGTAACGTTCCAAGTTTCAGGAAGTTTTGTTGAGCCAATGTCGCCAAGATACGAAAAAATACAGTTAGAAATTCCTGGCGTCAGGTGAGGGGATTTCGACGCGAATTTTAACTCTCAAGCTCGTTGCCTGACTACACGCCTGCCTCCAGCAATATACCTCAGCCAAACACGTGCCGCGATCTACGAAGTGAACAATGATACAAAACAGGCACTTACGCCTCGACGATGTACGGGTACTTCACCCGCATCAGCGCTGCTAACATGCCTCCGTAAGAGCCGCCAATTGCGACCACTTTACAGTTCTTGGCTCCCTCAAGGTTGTCCTTTAGCCATGTCAAAAGCGCGGCGTAGTCAGCCATGGCTTGCTCACTGGAGAGGTACGACATGTGTTCCAAATCCTAAAAGATGAACAAAAACATATAATTAATCTAGTGGCCAGTTTTTTTTTACTCTTTCTCTCCTTTTTGCCCTCTCAGACGCCATCTATGAAGAACTGTCGATTAGTTGTCAAATTGATACTTTATGCCTTAAGGAATTCATTATTTTGTAGCAACAAAAATAATGTAGTACATAACCCATTTTTAACTTAATTACTCCCACTTGAATTGCAGTGAGGTATTATTTATTCTGAAGTCATTTCTTTGTTTTTGCATAAATACTATGAAATCTCTGGCGAAGTATATAGTAGTGTAAATCCGTTTTCAGACATGTTTATTTTGAGCAAATATAAGTTTTACTTTTGATGTGGCCTGCGGGAAAAGGCACGTCGAACGACCTGTCGAACTTCTCATTGTCTCCAGCAGAGGGATAATATGCAACAGTGCAATGCAAAGTGAGTTCAAATGACGACCCCTTTCCTTCAAACCACTCACCATAGCGGTGTTAGAGTGGTTTGAGCGAGCGCATTCAATGCGGGGGGCACTGGGTTTGATTCCCTGTGCCGCCTGGCACCGGTTTTTCTAAAGCAGTGAGAAGTACCCCGGCCTGGCTCTAAGTGTTGTGGATACTTCATTTGCGGGTAGGCGGCCTCTCATTCTTTTTTTTTACTTCCCCCAACGACACTGCACAGTGCGTCCTTGTGGGTTCTCCTAGTAGCAGTGGTTCTTGAAGAAAAGAAAAAAAAAAGCCACCTAATTTCTGTCTGCCTAACTAGCGACACGGTGCGCTGCTTTATAGGGGTGGGTGAAGAGGATACGAAGAACAATAGAGAGACAAATACAGGACTCTCCACACTGTAGCGACAAAAAGAAGAGAGAAGAGTTGGAAATATATGGGACATGGTCGAAAGAGTGCGAGGATGGTGCACCGATCGGCGAGTGCTACGTGACGTGAGGAGATCGCAGATGACACAACCGTTCAGCACAGAATCCACCGAGCGCGTTCTATGGGTTTCACAAATGAGTGTCGTTTCTATAGCCTCGAACTATTCCCTCACTCTCCTACTTTTCACCTGCTTCCCCTTTGTGCAGTCTACTCAACAGTTAATTTCCCATTCTTCCAATTTTGAGATTATTCGGCGGCTCCCACGTCCCCCGACCATGGTCCGAAGAGGATCGACAAGGATGGAATTTATTATCAGACTGGGAACAATCTTCACAATTCATGTTTTGCTAAAGAAATAAGGTACACATTTAAAGCAGAAAGGACATCATGGGTGAACCGCCACGAAAATGCTTCGTGGTCGAAGCTTAGCCCTGACCCCTCGGTGAAGGTGTTGAAGTGGAAGAATGACATCGGTAGCCGTCGGTCGACTGCAGCTACCTTGATAAAGTGCTTCACATAAGTTGCAAACAATTTACTCTACCTTAGGTTCAATAGCTTATGTGATTTCAAGGAATTGTTCAAGGGCCTTTTAAAACCTATACGGAAAAAGAAACCCCCCGACGATCACAATGCGGCCTAATGCGAACACTGAGCACCGCTTCGTGTTGGCGCAGTGCCACCTGCTTCAATTGCGGACCATTTCTTAGCGAACTTCGGTGAGTGTGAATCTATCTATCTATCTATCTATCTATCTATCTATCTATCTATCTATCTATCTATCTATCTATCTATCTATCTATCTATCTATCTATCTATCTATCTATCTATCTATCTATCTATCTATGTATCTATCTATCTATCTATCTATCTATTATATCATTGTCGTTTCACGCTCATTTTTGTTCTGTATATTCTAATTCAACGTCTTTAAAAAAAAATAGCGACAGAGCCTATGGCGTTACTATTATTCTTTGTTGTTGCTGCTGCCTCAATGAAGATGTATGGAATAAAGTTATGCTACAAAAGTTTCGATAATTAAACCTTACATAAGCAATATGTAAAAATCACAATATCTCAAATGGTGCAATGCTGCGCAGAAAGGAACAAAATCGTTCGTTGCTCTGTTGACCACGCGATCATTATTCTGCGATAGTATTCAATTCAGCCCAAAGTTTGGGAATCGGGCAATTACGCTTCATCAGACCCTCTGTTTTTTTCTGAGCGGGCGATCGCAAAGCTCAACACATCGAAAACAAGCGTAATGGGAAAAACAGTGAAGTTTACCTACCTACCTACCTACCTACCTACCTACCAAACTACCAAACTACCTACCTACCTACCTACCAAACTACCAAACTACCAAACTACCTACCTACCTACCAAACTACCAAACTACCAAACTACCTACCTACCTACCTACCTACCTACCTACCTACCTACCTACCTACCTACCTACCTACCTACCTACCTACCTACCTACCTACCTACCTACCTACCTACCTACCTACCTACCTACCTACCTACCTACCTACCTACCTACCTACCTACCTACCTACCTACCTACCTACCTACCTACCTACCTACCTACCTACCTACCTACCTACCTACCTACCTACCTACCTACCTACCTACCTACCTACCTACCTACCTACCTACCTACCTACCTACCTACCTACCTACCTACCTACCTACCTACCTACCTACCTACCTACCTACCTACATACATACCTACCTACCTACCTACCTACCTACCTACCTACCTACCTACCTACCTACCTACCTACCTACCTACCTACCTACCTACCTGCCTGCCTGCCTGCCTGCCTGCCTGCCTGCCTGCCTGCCTGCCTCGATATGAATCAATATATCATCTATCTATCTCTATATCTCTTATCTATTCGCCTACGACTTCTAGCTCCCCTGGCCGTTTGGATAATGAGATCTGTGCCAAAATTGGTATGGCATAAGTACAACGAGCATAAGTGACTAGTCATAACATAAAGATAAAGTCATAAATGTCATGAATGTCATGATTTACATGTCAGGGTTTTTTTGCTCCTGCAGTGGTTTCGTTCACATGACATATCGCAGAACTGGTATGGTATGACATGACAGTATGGCGAACATGAGTGACAAGTCCTCACGTGGAAATCAAGACATGCGTGTCATGTAAAAACATGACTACTGCCACGCTCATGATGAGCTCGCAATTGTTTCGTTAGCTTAACATATACCAAATTTGTTATTACGTTCCGTGAATAGACGGCGAAGATAAATGACACGTTCAAACATGATAATCATGGCGTGTCGTATCACGTATACATGCCTCGCTCATAGCGCGCTCAAGGCCATTTCCCTAGCGTCACATATACCACATTTGATATTGCGTGACGTGAATGGACGACTGAGCACAAATTCCAGGCGCAAACATGATAATCATGACATGGAAGTTATGTACGGCAAAATTTACGTCCTCCTCCTAACGTTGTGCTGATTTTAATGTGACAATTCGACCTTCCTCATTCGTGCTTCGCATATCATCGATTCCCACTGTACATGGGATCTGCCTTTTTTTTTTTTTTTGAAGTAGTGGCGATCTTCATCGATGTAACCTTCGTTACATAGTGCCGCAGAAACTTTAAGCGCTCGAGTGCTACATGGACCATTTCGTGCACTGCGGACAGCTTATACGACAAGGGAAGTCAGCCGCAGTGCACGTCCCAGCCCTGCACGCGCACGAGCTCCGACCGAGAGGCCAGTGCTTGTGACGGAGGAGGAGAGCGAGGTTCGATGTCAGCGGCTTTTGATTTTGACACACACACCAAGTTCGCTCTATTATGTCCTGGTTCGTCCCATCAGTTGTGCCCACTTTAGAGAGCAAAGGCGACGCTACTCAGTCCTGGTGCGGGCGCCCAATAGCTGCTTTCTAAAACGGAATGGAGGCAACGTTGAAATTGAATTCAGTCGTTTTTTTATTATTATTACTTTAATTTATTACTGTCCCCAGCAAATACGGCTGTATTGAATGTAATGGCTACAAGCGAAATGAATTTATTCAATGAGCAGAAATTAATAAAGCAAAGAAACATGCACACAAAAAAATGGCTCCTAGACACACAATGCTAGATATGACGTTAGTGGATGCAGGTTGGACAATGAAGGTTAATGTAGTTATGCAGTATTAAGCTATGGTGTTCTTCAATAACTGGTCTGCAGCGATGAAGTTTGTCGTGGTATGAAAGAAATTCTATTCAATGGCATAATTTGTACAGCTATGATTGCTGTAATGCATTATATCTGCTTGATAGAATGTCGATCTTCTGAATGTGACTTAATCCGGGTGACACAGAGTCGGAGATATAAGCCTTTTGCGTTGTTTCGAGGGTTCAAATGACATATGAAAATTTATTATTGACGTTAAGTGTCTCTTGACGACGCCATTATTGTGTCAAGTAGAGCCATTTCACTTGCCTTGAAGGATTCTTCTCCGTAGGGCAGAGACTCGCCGTAATATCGATGTTCGGCAAACACGAGTAGTCCAGAAAAGTACCTAGCCCAGTCCCACATAATACCCTGAAACCGGCAGGATAAAAATGAAATACCATGTTAATAAGCTACACTTCCAAAAAATTGTCAGTGTAATCTCCTACTGAAACTGCCCGTACCTTGTATTCCACATTGCTTCCTACCCGAAGTGATTCTGTAACATATAAACCCCGTCTTTAGCATCACAATGTGCGTAACTGTTTAACCATGATTTATTAAAACTCATCTGTCAGGTTTTTTGAAGGTTGACTCTTCCTATTATCAAAAATAATAAGGAAATCTTGGGCCCATGGTCAAAAGGAAACCTACAAGCCACGGCTGCGCGTACAATATTTCACTTTGAGGGGAAAAAGGAATATCACAAAGTACTAAACCAGAAAAGAATATGTATTCTCGTAATTAGATGCAAAGCAGCTCTTTGACTAGCGTGTGTAACGGTGTCCCTCCGTACAAACGCGCCGTGCACCGCAGCTGTTGGCGCGGTGCCAGGTAGGTCACATCGCTGCTGCGCGTTGAAGTCACGCTCCTCTCGCAGTGCGCACTAGCGTTACTGTCTCGATTGCCTGCCGCGCGTTCGCCGCGGTGCCCGCAGCTGCTGCCTCGTCCGTTCGCCCGCAACACCTGCCGCGACCGCAGCACGCTACACCGCCGACTCGTCGGTTCACGCGCAAGAAACCTTACGCGCAGCTTACGCACGCGTTGAAACACGTCTATACGAGTCAGCTGCAAGACGTACGCCAGCCATCGCTTCACACGTATCTCCGAAGCGCTCACCGCAGCACCCACGTTTGCATCGTTCAACCCGTGACGCCACCCATGCGCAACGCTTCTGCTTCGAATCCCATCAGGACTCCTTTCAAGTAGATGGTCTTTTTGTTAGCAGGTTTGTTTCATTACAATATTCTAGTGGTTAGGTATATTTTGGCGGGAAAATCTTTGTGAAAGCCTATTTGTTGCAGTTACAGTGCAGTATTTAAAAGACTGCTTCGGAGAGGCATTATCACTTTTTACAACATTTTAGTAAACTTTAATGTTTTGCGTGTACATTTCAGTCACGTGATAGTTTTTTTTTTCGAAATCTGTGTTGTGTGAACAGATTTTTCTATTGAGAAACTTGGACTCCGTGCGTAAGATTTGTGCTATATACCTTTGTATAACCTTGTGTTTCTTATATAATATGCGATGATGACTGTTGTGCAAGAGAAGAGGAGTAGATGGCGCCACGCGTTGGCTCCAACTTTTCCTGATATAAATTTATTTTTAAAAAACGACAAACGATACGTCCACGCAACCAAAGTATGCAATGCCAGCTCGTATACACCTTTAGGCTATCGTGAAAGCTGCCATCCTTCTCACATAAGCGATTTTGTCGTCACAAACGACGATATGAAATGAGAGAACATAGATTCCTACGTTCAGGGTTTTCATCTTATTCACTGACACCGTATCGTAACGATACGAATCCACAAGGTGTGCTTCTCACTGCACGAAATGGATTTTGGGCAACGCGTTGTCCTCCCTAACTTGCGCAGAGCTTATGACAAATGCATGTACCATTTTTATTTGGCAGAAACGATGGGGGCTAGGTACATTAGATTGCGTTATGCTGCGTTAGGTTTTAGGTCTAGTTCAGTTAAGTTTTGTTTGGTTAGGCTTGTTTAGGTGCAGTGTTCAGGTTTGATTAAGCTATAGGTTAGCCTTGGTTTGGCCTGGTTTGATTTCGTGAAGCTTGGTGGGCTTCGGTTGTTCTGATCCTTCGAGATTCTTTGACTGAGTTTGCTCATGATTTCGTTCACTTGTGACAGTGACACATTACGAGTAATGTCGTTATCGGTAACGTGTTGATTTTCGGTAATTTAGTAGCGTAGTCGTTAACATTTTGTCGCTATACTTGATCACGTACTTACGATAACGCTTCTCGGTGACGCGATGTGTCACGCTACTCGGAACTCCTTATAACAATTATTCCAGCAGTGAACAAATCTCCTTCGTCTCGCAGGCGCCACCGCCGCAGCGCTATCCTTATACCGCGGCGGTGAACTGCTATATCGGTCTGTCAGATGTTCACAGCAGTCACCAACCTATACAAGTATAATGCGTCTGTCGAGCGCCCTATCCTTCTGTGGCGACCACTCCGCACAAACCTGCGCAGCCTCCGTCTCGTCCCCGTTAAGCCCGACGTGACACGGCCACTTGCTGAAACACGCTTCCGATAAGGGACAGTTCACCGGAGGCTTACGTCAACACTGATGGCTGTAAAACCCAAGCGGCCAAGCTCTGTTTAACCCTTTGTTTTTCTAACCGTTCGAGCACAGCGGCGGCATGCTCGCCCCGCTGTTGCTACCACGTTAACGAACAGTCGTTATGTTTCATGTTGGGATGCGTCCTTCTACCGACATGGCATCCCTTATGTCCATAGTGGCGTAGCTGTAGATTTATTGACTAAGCGAGACAGGCTTTGATAGATATGTGAGCTTTAACGTCCCAAAACCACCATATGATTATGAGAGACGCCGTAGTGGAGGGCTCCGGAAATTTTGACCACCTGGGGTTCTTTAACGTGCACCCAAATCTGAGCACACGGGCCTACAACATTTCCGCCTCCATCGGAAATGCAGCCGCCGCAGCTGGGATTCGAACCCTCGACCTGCGGGTCAGCAGCCGAGTACCTTAGCCACTAGACCACCGCGGCGGGGCAAGCGAGACGGGCTGTCCGACGACAGCTCTTGAATAGGACTGTTGCTTAGATTCTACATGTTGTATGTCAGTAAGTTGTCCCTGCAATACTTAAGCACTATTTATCAGTTCTTTTTCTTTTTTCAAAATACTATGTGCTTATGTATGTCAAACTGCAAGTTTCTGCTTGTTAAACTCCTGAGCAAGCCATGGTGGCCTTGATCGCCTTCGCATCAGCATTCACAATTTTCGAGGCAATTATTGCGTTAAAGGCACGAAAATGACTAATGCTGGATAATTTTTTCCAAGAATATGCAAAACAATGTTTATTTTATTATTACTAAAAGAGAGGTTACCACTGCATCACAAATAAAGGTTTCTCTTCCCACTATTGACGCCAGGTGAGCTGCACTTTTTAACTCTATAGCACGCGTTGACTCGTGAACGCGAGCGTCGCTGAATAATATTCTTGTATGTGAGCGAAAAAAAAATCAAGGTGTGTGTACCTGCTTCCCTTCGTCTTAGTCGTTTTTTCTCATCTCTTTCTCATTTTTACCGCTCATCATCATTCACTCCGTGGATATGCTGTGGATTTTTTTTTCTTCTTTTCATCAACATTCCACTCTGAGAGCTTTTGTAAAACAAATTCTCTCCCTATTTTTTGACGCAGAATAGCCTCTATTTTCTCTTATTTGTTTTTTTTTGTTTCTTCAGTCTCAACAAAACATACCGTGCTGTACACGAAGGGTTCAATCCTCATTTCATTTCCAGGGTAGAAGAGGATCAGCCCTCTCTTTCTGTCCCAGTATTGGTCGGCCACGATGTACCTCATCTGGAAGGTGTCGTTGTTGCGGTACGAAAAATGATCCACCTGTGACAAAACAAATACATGTATTTCATGTGCGACGTGACGCGTGGGTTTTTTTAACACTCGCGCACTCAACCGCAAATAACGCCTGCACGGCACATGTCTGCACTAGACAGATATAAATCAACATCTCTATAACTTTTCGACATCTCACTTTAAATGTTGTGCCTCTTTTTCTGAAGTCCGACGCCGCACCCAGTGTGCCATAGGCGTGTGCTTCAGCAAGCGCTATAAAATACCTTCATAAATGCACAGCTTCCCTTTAAAGAGCTCGTGCAATCTGTTTCGAATGAATTGTCTATAGACGGTTTCAAGGTCACGAACGTCGTACCCTAGAAAACTTCGGGTCACCTCATTTACCAGCTCCTGACGTCGAAACTGAAAGCACGTTTTCAAGTTCGTTTTAAATGAAGGAAATGTCTCCCTTTAGTTTTTCAGATAAAAGGAAGGTGCGAAAATTTCAAGATCATCTCTTATAATTTTTATGTAGCCACCATACACGTTCATCGTTGTGCTTCCTGCGTCGTCAACTTCAAGCTACAACGTCTGCATATCCATTGACTTTACGGACCACAATGGTGATTCGTAAAGCAGACCCTTCAAGGTCTGCTTGCCGGAGCTGACGTCTCTCTTCAGCTTCGTGTGCTCTCACACTGGCGCTGCCTTGTTGCAGCCGCTTCGCAAGCTTTCCCTCCGCCGCACTAATGGTGGTGGTAGTGGTTAGAAGGCGCCTAATTTCTACAGCCCGGTAGGGAGCACACGGAGCAGCGTCTACTACTAATGCTCATGTCTTCATACTACTGCTCTCTCTCTCTCTCTCTCTCTCTCTCTCTCTGTGTGTGTGTGTGTGTGCGTGTGTGTGTTTGTGTGTGTGTGTTTGTGTGTGTGTGTGTGTGTGTGTGTGTGTGTGTGTGTGTGTGTGTGTGTGTGTGTGTGTGTGTGTGTGTGTGTGTGTGTGTGTGTGTGTGTGTGTGTGTGTGTGTGTGTGTGTGTGTGTGTGTGTGTGTGTGTGTGTGTGTGTGTGTGTGTGTGTGTGTGTGTGTGTCGAAATCAAGAAAGAAAGAAGAAATCAAGAAGAAATGGACATTGGCCGGGGACGTAGGCAGGGCTAACCGCTGGTCATTAAGTGTAACTGACGAGATTCCCTGAGATGGCAAACGCGCGGAAGGGATACCTAGTTAGGTGGGCCAATGAGATTTAAAATTTCGCAGGTATACATAACGTGGCTACGGCCCCGCCGCGGTGGTCTAGAGGCTAAGGTACTCGGCTGCCGACCCGCAGATCGCGGGACCAAACTCCGGCTGCGTCGGCTGCATTTTCGATGGAGGCGAAAACGCTGTAGGCCCATGTGCTCAGATTTGGGTTCACGTTAAAGAACCCCAGGTGGTCGAAATTCCTGGAGCCCTTTACTACGGCGTCTCTGATAATCATACGGTGGTTTTGGGATCGTAAACCCCACATATCAATCAATCAATCGACGTGGCAACGGAAAGCACAAAACCGGGTAGATTGACAGATCATATGAGAGGCCTTTGCCCTGCAGTGGGCGTAGTTAGGCTGGCGATGATGAAGATGTGTGTATGTGTGTGTGTGTGTGTATCTGCGACCAAATACAGAAGCGCTTTGGTTCGTACATACTTTCTGAGTTTTCTGGGTGAAGAGTGATTTGTGAGGTGATCTTCGCTACTATACGCTCGCCACAACTGCTGGTCTGTTTTACAGCTGAGCTATCAAGTTTTTTTGATGTCATGTCACAAAATCAGGAAACTGGCAGCATCACAAACCGGCACGCGCCCTCTTTGTCCTCTTCGTATGCTCCTTCGCTGCCAGAACGCGTGTACCAATTTGTGCGCAGAACGAGAACATGGAGAGAAAAAACGATAAGGTAAACAGAGAGAAAGATGTAAATAGAGAAATAGACGGGAAAATAACATAGAAAGGAACAGACACAAGATATACAAAAAAAATACGAAGGTTTAGTCATTTACTCGCTTCTCCAAAGTCTCGCACGACGGCTGATTCAGTTATCCCTGAACTTGCCTTTGTTGAAGATCAGGACATACCTTCGTGGTGAAGTTGTGAATCTTGAATGTGAGATTCCTCTGCTGGGCAGCCGCTTCGGGTGGAGCCAAAGTGAGCAACAATAACACCACTGACGCGGCCACGCGCAGACTCGGCATCTTCGTTTGAATCTGCAAATAGATTTATTACTTATTTTGTTTATTTTTGTATAATTTTGACCAACGCATAATATGACCCAAGTGTCAGCAGGAAAGTACGTGAATGACTTCCTTACTGAATTCTGGGCGTGTTCACTCATTACACGTGTGTGCGTGTAATTAGCAAAGAACGTAAGTGTGCGACTCGTTTAGAGGATAAGTACGGGACAAAGTGCAATTGCCAGCACTTCAATTTAACAAATTTAAATAATCACAGGCTTCGTTTCCTAAATGTATAGTGCTTTATTAATTGGAAAAGTGAACAAAATACAGCTCAGAACTGTAGCAGTTATTTTCAATGACAACGAAACTCAAATCAAAACATGTGTGGCCTATTTGGTAGGTTCAAGACAGAGCAGTCTGTCAATATTGTATAAGCAGCCATCTTTTACAGGTTTCATCATGAATAAACTTTGTCCTTCTTACAGTTACTTTCCCACATAGTTTAAAATATATGTCCACTTTTATACTCTTTCTTAGGCTTCATACTCATTTGCGTATCATATGACATTTAACTAACCTAAATAGAGCTCCTCATCTCCAGCTGCTGGGAAAAAAAAGATTTTTCCCGGAAGAAAGTTACAGTTACGTCCGCCTAAGGTGCTAAATTCAAGCTTTTATTTCTGTTTGAATTCAGCAAAAGTATCGAACTGGGCAGCTATGTATTGTGTACGGTGCGATGACGTATCTATCTAGAGTGCCTTTGATTAGTATCACGCGCAATACAACGCTATCTATTTCATGCCTAAGTGTAGCCATCCCAGAATTAGAAAACGACACAAGTCTCATATCTCTTACCTTTAATTCAGCCTTTAGGAGAGTGACGATTTGGACCCAGGTTCTGGTTCACATTAAGAGTTCGCCCCTGGACGACATGAAGCGAATTTTAAGGTTTGCAAGCTCATGTCTTGCGTATTCAATGTTTGAAAATTGTTAGCGTACTCTCATATACCACAACACTCCACAGTGAATCCCACAAGTACTTACAATAATATCAAAGGTATTATATACCAAAACCACAACATTATATCGAGGGACGCCTTAACGGAGGGCTCCGGCAGTTTTCACCATCTGGGTGTTCTTTCACGTGCGCTAAAATCGAACGTATACGGGCTTCTCGGATTTCACCTCCACCAAATTTCGACCACCTCGGCGGGAATCGAACCCGCGACCTTCGCGTCAGCAGCCGGGCACCGCAACCACTACAACATCACGGCGGACATCCACAAACACACGTTCTCGCCTAGTTTCGTGTATAAATTGAAGGTGTTTTTTGTTAACCCTCCGTGAGCGAGTGGAAAGGCAAATTTCGTTACTGACAAGGATGACGCCGTGAAATTTGACCTGCGCAGCTGTAGGAAGCACGATATACGCCCCAAGCTTCGTCTGGCTAACTACTTTTACATCGCCTTGTACGAATGAATTGTTCAATATCGTCCTATATTCGTGCTGCTATCAGGTGGTTGTCAGGTCGTAAAGCCTTGGGTAGCTAGATACGGTGATTGAGCATGTGGAGAGCTGCATATTTATTTTCAATTCCTCGTGGTATTACGAATCCCAGTTTTCTTTACTCGCGGCTATTGCTATCCGGTCACCGTAGCGTTTTCCCTCTCCCTCTTAATAAAGTCAAGATAAGCCAAGGATGTGGATTATATAACTTTGTCCGGTTAATTATGTAAGATTTTAAATTATTCAATACTATGGGTGGGCATATACGATGCGTATCGGTGCGTAAAAGCAGGCAAGGGTTGCTTGCTTTCACCCATTTATTGAGGATGGCCCGGCAATTTCAATGGTTTGATACGAAAATTTTCACTTGTCCTTTTTTTTTGCTTCAAGTGAAAGAACCTAGAAAAATGTACTAAAAAAAACTAGTTTCGGTTCCTACTGAACCCTGATGTCACAACACGGTATAAGTTTGGTATCGGGACGCTTACACGGCCGCTCTTCACCGCCCTTACAAAAGTATATTTTAGAGCCTGTAAACCATTCAGATAGTGTACGGATGGTCTAAATCTATTTTTTAAGAACGTGGCTCGTTTGGTGACACACGAGTGGCCACATTGAATGTTTTTAGAGCGTAGAAGCGGTCATTTCGAAAGTTTTTGTGCCTGACGTCATCACAACTTGCCAGACTGCTGTGGAACGTTACAAGAATCAGTATTGTAGTTTGAGGTCAATCTAGTGTCGATGTGAGTAGGTTCGCATTCGGAAAATTTACTTCATTATTGGCATAAGATTTTATCCACATTTTCTTAGCTTCACGCTTCTTCACAGCCGTCTCTGCGAAAAAGAGCTTTGTAAGGCGAAGTAAATGCCCTTTCGAAAAAAAAATGGCGTCATTACCCCCTTTAACATTTCATTACACTCAAATGATAGATCGAGTAAAGAGTACGTCCCACAAGAATAATCGTCAGCTATCTTGTGTCCCTTTCCTTGCACTATCGCTGCGCGCCCGGCACTTTTACGTCCTTAACGACATGCGCATTATCAGCGTGATATAGCATTCTTGATAGGAAAGTGGCCAGCGGCAAGTCTTCAAGAAAGGAAGTGCAGGCAAGCCGGATGACGATTATTGTTGCGAGACAAAAAAGCACCCTTTTTATTAGATATTTTTTAGTGTTGCTAAGAAGGATTTCGGTCTTTAGAATACTTTCGGGGATACCTTGAATATCACAAGCATTCAAGAAGCCAACAGCAGACGTACGAAAGTACAGAGGGTGTAGCGTACCTGTCACTGTACTGACAGGTGAAAGTGAGCTGGTGTGCTCTTGCGCTGTGCACTGTGGCAGTGACAAACAAGTTGAAGAATGAACTAACTATCAGTTAATAATGCACGGACCCGACAACATCTCCGAGAATGGCCGTCGCGGAACATGAAGCGGTGAAACGGGTGAAATCCCAAAGAGCGGTATTTTCTAAGCACATGCAAACGTCGTTTTTGTTAGCGTTGAGCTGTTTCACAATTCGTTCACTGAACGTGACTAACTAATACGACGTTACGCTTCTGTCGCTTACCAGGCCATGTCGTCTCGCGGGCACGGCGCGGCCGTCACTTGTTTTTGTTTTTCATCACTGGCTCATACCCACTATGAGGCTGAAATGGCAATAATAATAAGTGAGGTTTTACGTGCCAAGACCACTACACGATTATCAGTCATGCCGTAGTGGAGGGCTTCGGGAAGTCTGGCCATCTGGTGTTCGTTAACGTTCATTGACACCGCACAGTACACGTTCCTCTGGCGTTTCTCCTACATCGAAATTCGACCACCGTGGCGGTGATCAAACCCCCGACCTTTAGGTCAGCAGCCGAGCACCGGGTGAATAGCCAAGTGGCAGGCGTACTTACAATCGTAAATTTAAAACTGTTGAAGGGGGGCGGGGGTTACTTCTTAAAGCTGCGATATGATTACGAGATGCCTTAGTGGTGGGCCTCGGAAATTTCTACCAACCACCTAGTGTTTTTTTTTTTTTTCATGTGCAGCTAGATCGGAACACACGATCACCTAGTGTTTTACCTCCATCAAAATGTGGCCGCCGTGTCCATGATTTTTTCTCGCGACGTTCGGGTCAGAACTCAATCACTATAAACCCTGTAGACCAGCAATGCGGGTCTGTTGGAAGTCACTGTATCAAATATTTTGTTTCGAAATGTAGCTGTTTACGGGTGTAAAACATGATCATATTCATTTATTTTACTCGTTACTTTATATTCATCTGTATCGCGTGTTTCCCGCTTCAATCAGCGAGAAATGCGACCTTAGTTTCACGTTTTTAAATATATGACGAAGCTGTAACTACGCCGCCCAACCCTTCAAAAAGAACTTTATACAACCCAAACCTTCAAAGAGCAAAGGTGACAAAGATTACGACGTCGAGCTGTCCACCTGCCGTGTTGCTCTGAACACCGTTTTTTGCACGGTGACGTGCGTGAGCGGCCCTGCAAAGTCGAGGAACTCAGAGACGCCTTCACCACGGCCGGTCTATTCTTGGACGTCGTGGCGTACCAAATCAACCACGTGTGGGCTGTGACCATAAACACGGGAGAAGCGACCAAGAAACTGGTAGCGCTGGCAGAACTCAAACGGCCGCAGATGCATAATAATTGATCCCGAGGATCAGCAGGTCAAGCTTCGCCTGCTTCGGATGCTTCACGGCGTCCAAGACGAAGACAATAAGACAGCCTCCTTCGCCGCGTTCGGCAACGTCACTGAAGTGATGCGAGAATGGTGGCCTGTTTGAGGCCTACGGGAGAAGGGCTCGACCACGGGAAGCGTGATCCTAAAGCTGAAACCGGGAATGAAGGAGGACGACCTGCCCCACCAGGTGCAAGTCGTCCCGGGCGGGCGATGCAAGTTGCGGTACGGGCCACGTACAGCGGTGAGCATAGAGTGAACACGTGAGGCTGTGGCCACGCTTCGTGCAGCGCCAGTGTGCCTGCACAGGCACGCATCGAAGCGTAGCGATGCATGCGCACACGCACACATTGGAGCTGCTTTACGTCGTCGGCTGCATCTCCTGAACACGCCATTTCGTAGTAACCAAGCGCCGGTCTCGCTTGTCTGTAGTCAGCGCCTCATTTTTGTCATCAAGTGGCAGTGCAAGCGCGCGCTCTTCAACGGGAACCGCCGGTCCGCCTTAGTTCAGAGAATGGTCGTGATGCGACTCCCAATGAAGGACAGGCCTGCTTTCATCACACGTGCTTTCGAGCGCTTTCCCAACGAATACGCGATAGACGTGTGTCCCTCTCTAATATCATGCGACGGTCAGATTTGTTCCCTCGTGCTCTTTCTTAGTGCCTCGAAGAAGTGCCACCACCACATCACAGCGCTATGGATATGCAGCGGCGTCACCGTGACGCGTCGCCATTGGTTGCCCGCATAGTGCCACGAAGGGCAACACGCTATCTCAAAACACCGTACCACTTACAGAGCCAGCGTGACCGCCAACATTGTGATAGC